ATATACAGGTTTGGGAAGAGTTTTCAAGGCTAAGTTTACGCCTGCAAGTTTTACTCGGCAAGTGCTGTTGTCGCACTCCTCAGGTTTTCAACAAAGACTGAGATTTGCCAAGAGAAAAAGTTAGAAATTTGTTAGTGACGTGAACGACATGAAGATGACGTGACATGACTTGAAGATAACGTGACGTGATAAAGACTTGACGTGAAGATGACACTAAAAAATCTGCAGTAGTTTTTAGGAGAATTCTACTCTAACAAATGTTCCTGAACTAGTGTCTTATCGAGACCGTTGAATAGACCATGTATAAGCGTGACTGTTTAGATCTTTTATATCCAGTACTTCCTTTAAGATCAGAATTTAAAGAGTAAATAATACAAATAATAGCTTAATATAATTGATGAAACCCCATAGGGGCTTATGAATTGATATAGTGTTAATATATGTGTTCCCATACTTTTGATACGAGCATAAATGGTGTACCAAGAATTGTGAAAGATTGGCACGATGATGAATATCGTGACTTACCTACCCATTTAATATCTAGGGGTGCTTTAATTATACGAAAGATGTGTTTGTTGTTAATTGTGGTCTTATTGCTGTGTGAACGTTCAAATATCATGATCAATAGCAGGTGGCGGTATTTCGCCTTCTTTTCGGCTAGTCTCGAAAGACACCGAAGGCCAGTAGTGTAGCAGTCAAAAAGTCTCCAGTTACAATCAATACTACCTTTAGGTTGCGAAACAACGATTAATTGCCCATTTTGTTATTCTTCAATATCCTTGAGAGCGTGTCTGTGCCTTTATCCTTACGGTAACTATAGAAATGCGTAGCTGGACTAATCGTCATCATCCGCTTGGCGAGCTATCAATCTTTTCCTAATATCCTCTTTATTTGCATTTCTCAACAATATTTCCCGGACGTAAACTGTACTTAACACGTTGAAAAGCAGACTTTACTGAAAGAGGCTTATTTTAAAGTCCGTTTAATTTTGACTCATCAACACTTATTGCGAGGTTGTGAAGAAGCCTAATTGATGCATAACGTAATGAAAGACAAGCGCGCGTGTTCTGTCGCACTTCGTAATAAGACCATCACACTTTGTAATAATTCTTGCTCTTGCATTTTCCAATACTTCGCAACAACACTTACCACACTTTGCAAAGTGCGACGTGTGTTGTTACGAATGCTTCAGCGTATTTTAATAAAATGTGCGATGATCTGTCGTAACAAAGAGATACAGCTGTTCCCAAAGTGCAACTTATATTTTGGACATTTGACTGATAAACATACTTTAAACTCGGTTTCAAAGATGCAAATTAATGCAAATTTGTGGCATAAAACTGCTGCTTTTTTTCTTTTTAAGAAAACTTCTTGAAATAGATAGGAAGTTAAAGTTAAAGAAAAGCACGAACTGTTCTTCATCCTTGTTCCGAAACATACCCGACCGTTTTTCTTATCGTATGTGTTGCGCAAGCAGTTTGGAAGAAGCCGATGTAAATGTCATTCAACTTCCTAGCATAAACATCTGGCTTTCTCTTGAACAAATTTGAAATAACTTAAAGATGGCAGACAACCTGGTGCTTTATTAACTTCCTGCTTGTTCGCAAAATAAATTAACTTATCTATTTAAACGTCTACCCGGATGAAGACGAAAAATCCATTTTCATCCCATTAGCGTATATATATGTTCTAACCTTACAATGAAGCACGAAACCATTCGTTACGTGTCATTTGCGGGGGTAAAAGAGAAGCAAGGTCTAATTGACTATGGCAAGCTTCATCTTTTATTGGCTCGTTAAATGTCACTGCGCAGTAAGAACTTAGAGAAGTGTTTATAAAAAGAAATACTTCGGAATTCTTTTTCCGTTAACAGGTGAATATATATATAATTCGTAAAGGAAATTACTCGTCTCGATCACAAAAGAAGCCGAAAAATGAAAGCTATTAATTACATGAAGGCCTCAAATTAAGCGGAGACAGTAAACTTTAATTCATTTGCAACCAGAAAGTGTTCGTATACAACCAGCTGATCCGCAGCAGCAGGACCAATGGCGAACATTAGCTCAGCTGGAGATGTAGTACAGCCACTGCATGTAGGCATCCTGGTATTTTTGGCTGCCTTAAACGTTCTTCTCTCCATCAGTTCAACTCTGGCCAATACTCTTATCCTAATTGCCCTTCATAAAGTGACGTCTATTTATCCACCAACGAAACTCTTCTTTCGATCTCTGGCGATCAGTGATCTTTGTGTTGGCCTAACTTCGCAATTGCTTTTTTGTGTAACTCTCACGGGTAGAATATCAAACATAGGAAATAATCTACTCCACTACAGCGATCGATTAAATACCACTACAAGTTATGTTCTGTTGATGGTCTCTGTCTTGACATCAACTGCAATAAGCGTGGACAGACTTCTCGCGCTGTTGTTGAGGCTGAGGTACAGAAAGACTGTGACTTTGAAGCGCGTCCGAAAGATTGTAATCGGCATTTGGTTTATTTCTTGTGTATTAGGCGTATGGCGACACAGTTCATGGGGCGAAGAAGTTTCTCGGGTCACATTCATTGTTTTTCTTGTACTATGTTTGATAATCTCTTTTCTCTCGTATTTTAAGATCTATCTTCTCCTGCGCCATTATCAAGTGCAAGTACAAAACCACTTTGAACAGCCAAACAGACCCGCAATCCCATTAGATATGGCAAGATATAAAAGGACGGTTCATGGCATAGCTTGGGTACAGTTGACATTGCTTGTTTGTTATCTCCCCTTCTGTGTTGTGCTCATGTTATTTTCATACGGCAAAATACCTGAAAGTGCATCAGGGATGGCATTTCTTCGTTTCACAATTACGATTGTTTACCTAAACTCATCTCTGAACCCGATCCTTTACTGCTGGAGGATTATAGAGGTTAAGGAAGCTGCAAAAGATACGATCAGATCATTAAACTGTTTTAAGTCCAACTAGCTAGGCGTTATCTTTTTTAGTATTGACCTGTGATTGGAGAACAGAGAAACTGTGCGAAACTGATGACCTTGGACGAAACGAAAACGAAAGCAGGAATGAGCCCATATTCAGTATGAAATCATTCTTTTCAGGGCTTTTATTCACGTAACGGATAGGTGCTAAGCATATCTCACCTCTGACTGCATCACCATGCGCGGTAAAGTGGATTTAATTCGTTTCGTTCAAGTAAATTAGCACAGCGTGCTTGGTGTCATGTTCGCCACGCAAGATTCTCGAGGGCTCAAGTTCTAGTAGCTTGCCAATCATCTCTACTTCCATTCTCGCACATGGTAGTTCAGATATATATTTTTCTTCCCCGTTCAACAAAACTACTCCAACATCGAGATCTCCCACAATCAGAGTATCCTTCCCACTGTGATAGTCCATTGGGCTGTCGTGGATTAAGTTGAACCACCCTGATCACATACTGATGTCTCTGACAGATAATTTCCATTCTCGTCCTCCATAGCTTGAAACGGTACCCTGTGCAACTCTTCCACTGGAAATATGAGGATTTTGGAACCCTCAAGGAGATTATCAACAGGCGCAACTGATATGTCTTACCACAACTGCAAGCCTGTCTTGCATGAACTATCAAGTGGAATCTCATCATCATCGTCCTCTTCTTCCACCTCGAAAGGGCGTGCAGAATCTGCCCGTGTTTGTGATTGAGAACACTTTTGGCCCGCCTCAAAGTTAAACAACGATCTGTCTTCATAGGAACTACTTCGTCCAAATTTGTATTCTGCATATGTTACATTAGCCAAGGATTCAAACAATATTCAATATTCAATATTCACAGCTTTAAGACGCTGAGGAACTGCATCCATGACTTCTCTTGACACCTTCTTAAATTGATACTCTGGTTTAGTTTCATGACCCGAAGGAAAAGCTCGTTCACATGGTAGGCGATGTACAGAACGACGCGGTCTTCCTTCAATAACAGTGTTTGAATGTCGCTGACTTTCAGTTCTTCGCCCTGGTTAGCTCCTTGAATGAAGTATTGTTTTGATCTGCAAGTCCTCTAGCACGCCTAAGCTCGTCAGTATACATAGCTTTGTTCACATCCTCTTCTGACTGACACATAAAGCAAACGAGCAACTTGAAAGGAAAAATGTTATCGTTGGCAAAAAAGACTCTCAGGTGATCCTCGTTGCCAAGAAAGCCTCTAATGTCCTCGTAGACGTTGACACTTTCTTATAACTTTGGGCCAAAAAAGACTCTCCGATTTAACATAAAACTCTTTGATTTCGGTGTAAGTTTTCGATTAAAAAATCAATAAATTAGGCATATGGAACACTTACCAATCGAAAGGTGTGATTCTAAGGCTGTATTGTCTTTACAGTAAAGAACCCTATTAAAAAAACTTCAACGGGTCTTGAACAGGACAGTAAGGACGATACGTTTCGTCCCCAGGTAAGCACGGTTTAGCTTCAAGGGTAATCTGATACTTGACCCTTCGTTCAAGTTTCGGGGAACGTCCTTCTAAATGGCCGAAAACAGTATATATTTTGGATGCAAGTTTTACTGAAGAGAAAATAAACTGACATACGGACAAAAACGAGCAAAAGCAAGAAAAAAAACAAGACAAAGCAAAAACATACAAGACTCCAAGATAGCTTTGACAAAAAGAACTCGTGACTTTTTTCCTAGTCTGCAGTGTTAGCGTCTTATTACATGAGGGTAAGTCAACATTTATACCAAGCCATATTTGATTTGGAGTTAGAGGTTAGAGTACGTAGGGGCGGGGAAAGGCGAGAGGAACCACCCTTCCCCTATTTGGTCCAAATTTCCTTCTTTCCCCAGCCTACTGCTGCTGTAAAAATAAAAAATTGCAGCTATACTTTTCACTAAGAAAATACTGAGTGCTCCCTTGCCAAAATTACGCCTGCTCTTGCTGGCTACTATTGTTTAAAATGTTCTCAACGGAACAGGATGGTCGTATTTGGCGCGTTGCACTTCCAGACGAGGCGTCAGAAGAGGCACGGTTCCTTGATCATGCGTACTACTTTGTTTGCTTTGAGATGAGACAAAACAAAATGGCGACCGCCACGCTGAGCGACGTGGTTGCGGCAGTCGAACTTGAAATCAGTTGTCCCATTTGTTTGGAGGACTTCGAAGAACCTAAGTGCCTTCCAAATTGCGCTCACAATGTCTGTCAACATTGTCTTGAGGGAATGCTGAGGAAGAAGAAAGATTTTGTAGAATGTCCTGTATGTCGCATCGAGTCCGCTATTCCTCAAGGCGGTATTGCTGCTTTCCCAAAAAATCACCTCATTGTTCGCTTGATCGAGCGTACACCTGGAAGAAAGGAGAAAGAGGCCATCAAAGAAGCTCTTAAAACTTGTAAAGGTAAATTAGAAGGTGCCGAAACTGCTCTGAAGGATATGGAAGATCGCTATGTTACTTCCAGAAGTAAAGCACAAGAAATCAAACAGAAGATAAAGTCGATCGCCGAAGATGTTATCACAAAAGTACGGGAACACGAAAGCAGAATACTCGATGAAATTGATCAAAAATTGACTCAGAATCGCAATGAGGTAACGTTTGAAACTCATAAATCCAATGCCACGGAGCTTTGCGAAAATGCCACAAGCTGTATTCAGACTGTTGAGGACATACTGCATAATGGTGAGGTAAGCGATCTGAAAGATCTCAAAGACGCCCTTATCGAAGAGTTACACGAATTCTCGGAGTCCTTGGAATCACGAAAGTTTTGGGCAAACTGTGAGTTCACTCATCCATTTGATGTGTCATTGTCTAATACTGACCCAGTTGATAAGTTTCTCCAGAATGACTGTTCGTTAGGCAATCTGCGTATAAACACGGCTTCAGATGCAGATCTGGATTCTGCCTCAGCAGCTGAAGAGATTCCTGAAGTTTCTGTTTTCTCAGGTGTTTGTTTTGATACACCTGTTGATGTGAGAAATATGGACTTCTCAAACTGTGGTACTTTAATTCAGACAGTGGATAACTTGACTTGTGAATTACAAAAATTTAACCCCTTCTCAGTTGCAGTGGCCAGGAATTCAGGCCATTTTGTAGCACTGGATGAAGAATTGAAAAATGTTCACATCTTCAATGAGGAAGGAGAACATTCTAAGAGATTTCGTATCATGTATGGTGACTTGTGGGACATTGGTGTTTCAAATGAAAATGAGATAATTGTGTTAAATCGGGAAAGCAACCGAATCTTGCATTATGATATGAATGGAAACTTTCGGAAAAAATTTGTGACTCCTCCAAGACAAAATGTGAAGTTTACATCTATATCTGTTGACATGCATGGACGGTTTGTAATCACCTCTAGTCCATGTTATGAAGAAACTCAAGAAGATACTGAACCTTGCATTCTAGTATACAATCAATCAGCAAAACTTACAATGTCATTTGGAGATGGGATTCTTTTATCACCCCAAAAAGCAGTATTTCTCAATGGTAAATTTTTTGTGGCTGATGCTGGGAAAGAGAGCATTGTAGTCTTTGACAAGAGTGGGATATTTCTCGAAGAGATTGCCAAAGGTTGCTTGGAACATCCATGCAGTGTTGCTGCTGATTATACCCATGGAAATATTGTGGTTTGTGACCGTGGAAATCCTTCAGTAAACATATATAGTCAAACTGGGGAGCTTCTGCACCACCTTCAATTTGAGGATATTCCCTTGCAAGTTGCTTTTACCAAGAACTTTGAGAATCTACTTATTTGCTTTGAGGTTGATAATGGCAACAAGAATATACAGATGTTGACATATTCATAGAACAGTATATCTGAGTAATCATACTGTGAACACATATATCTACATGTATGTAATAAATTAACTTTTTCACTCCCATGAGTTGCCTAAAACAAATTTCCCCCCAAGATATCAGTATATTTTCAAGCAGCAAGGCAATGAGAAGACAGAAAAACACTAATTTAGAAATAATGTTTAATTTGACACCAATTTTTCTGCCAACGTTCAAGGAAAAGTTGAGCCAACAGTGTGGATATTCAATATGTAGATCCTGGGGGTGAAACAGTGAAAAATAATTGTCTTTGTAGCTAAGTTTTGTTGATAAAGATCTTTTTTCAGCTTGTATCTATTTATTATTATGATCTAAAACAAAAGAGAGATATTATTAACCATGGTCTAACACCTTTATATCAGGAAGAAAGTTTAACTGAAAAAGCATACTTTAAAAGCAGCAGATGATACACTCTAACTGAAATATAAATGTGTTATCAAGGTGTAGAAGAGCTGCTCCCATAGAACACCAATTGATAGGATTGTTTAAATTTTGGCCGCACATCTTTCCACCTTGAATAATGAACACTGCAATAAAGTTATTTATGTGTTCTACTTATAGTTTTGTTTTGAAGAGTGTCACCTGTGTTCTATTGTACGGTTAGCTTGGAAAATAGGTTAAAAACAACCCTTTTCTTTTTCATCCCTTCAGCTCCTATTGAAAGTTTCATGAGTATTTGATAGTCTAGAATTGCTATTGGCTCATCCTCAAGCAACTATTATGCATCTCTGACATTAAAATAGCACATTTTTAACTTTAGAAAGTGGGTAACACTGTTCATATCAGATTTGTTGATCATACAAATAGCTACTGTATTTTCCCTCCAATCAGAAATTATTGTAAGCTCTTCTTCATGTTTAGTTGGGAAAATATATTACATTACACTAAGCCAGCTAAAACATAACTTACATTTGTCTATTTCATGTATTAGAGAGTGTGAGTTCTAATGTCTTTTTACTGTTGAAGAGCAAATGCAGCCATATTTGACCTGAACCAATGAGTTAACGCTTTAATTCCTAGAAGTGATTGACTTGTAACTTCCCCTTATAATATCCATACATTATCACCAAAGCAGTAATGAGAATACTTAAACTCATCAAGTAGAAGTGATTATCTTGATCTAACACCAAATTCTTGTAACTAATTCACAAGGAAATGTGTAGGAGCTAAAGGAGACAATTAACAATCAGACATGTAGAAATGATTTTTTGAGAGCCACAAAAAGAATACTCAATTTCTGGCTGCTATTTATCAAGAGCCTTAACCCTTTAACTTCCAGAAGTGATTAAATGTAACTTCTCCCTATAACATCCACACATCCAGCTAACATGTAATAAGAATACTCAAGCCTATCAGAAAGAAGTTAGTGGTCTTGATCTAACACCACATTCTCGTGACTTATTTACGAGGAAATGTGTAGCAGCTAGAGGAGAGAACTAACAGCCAAATCTTGGGAGTTAAAGGGTTAAAAACAAACAAACAAAATAGAATAAAAGGGGTAAGTTTCTAAAGATACTGTGGTGCTGCGTCGGTGGGAGAGTATAGCAGGTAATTTAGTGTTAACAACTGAGTTGAAAACGTAAATTGGCCACCGTAAAGGGTAAAAAAGCTGACGTTTCGAGCTTTAGCCCTTCATTAGAGCGAAATAGAAGTCAATGATAGCAGAAAAAGAGAGAAAAAAAAGAAAAAAGAGAAGTTAGTAATAATGATAATATGAGTAATGTTTATAGTTGAATAGAATAAAGAAGAGAACCATACCTAACATAACTGAATAAATTTTCACTTCCTCTTTACATCCATGTTTTTTTTTCAGATTCCAGTTGTCTGGAGCCGCGATCGCGATAGAGGTCGAGGCTTATGGCCAGCATGATCAAGATGATTGGATTAGTATTAATCAGCTTTCAAACAATTCAGTCTCTTTGAACTTTCGGCGGGCACACTCAGAAAAGTGAAAGAATCCAGGCTAGAATTTAACACCACTTGACTAACAACCCCGATGAGCAATTGTTTAGCCCTCTTCGGGTTGTCTGCGAGTTTTTTTTGTTTTGTTTTTTTTTTTCAGTTCGTTATTCCGAACTTGTTTAGCAATTTACAATAACAATTGCAATTGTGAGGTTAAATTCCTTTAAAAACTTGGAGATACAAGAGTTGTAAAGATATGAAGGTCAGTTACAGATTTCTTTACCTTCATATGAAGAAGGAGACTAAGGAGGCAGGTTGAACGCAAAGCTTGGTAATCTTATCTTCTTCTAGAGAGGTAGTAATGATTGATGGGTGTGTCCTGAATGTGACGATACCAACGTTAAAGCGAAGGCTGCAGTGTCAATGACAGCTGGTAAGCGCTCGTCCGACAAGGTCATAATGATTCATGGGATTAGACCTTGAGAGTTCCAATCATCACATGTTACTGTCAGCTTCCGGCGAGCTCAGTCACCTGCTTGCAATACGTAAAAATCGCGTGAATAATGGCCGACACGGAACCAAGGAATGTGTTCGATCGCGCTTGAACAGATCACCCACAAGCAGACTACATGACACACAGAATTTTTCTCCGTCTTGTCATTGAGAGGCCATCTTTGGACACTAAAAATTCTCCATTTTACAGTTCAAAACGATGGGTGTGATCGCGTGTTTCTGTTTTGATTTATCGGAAAATTTCCCAATCGCGCCTTATTAAAAGCAATCGATAAATTTAGATAATAATTGAGAACTGGTGTGACAATTAGGCACCCTACCAAAGAAATGATCAACCACCCAAGCCACAACACGAACTTAATAAACGTTTCCGCAGATGACCCGGCCAGAAATGATTTCTGTTGTATCTGATCACATTTCCTTCATAGACGTGCGATCAATTAACGAAGTATTTTTTTCCTGTCAGCTGTGACCTTCCTCTGATTATTGTCGAGACAGCCTTTGAAAAGAAAAGGCTTGTAATGAACTGAATATTGGCAGGCAAAGGACCTGAAAAGGACAACACCTTTATCTCCTTCATTGACACACCGAGACAACTGTGACAGGTTTGGGAAATATCACTGCGGTTTTGGTCATAAAACAATTAGCGAGTGTAAACAAATCGAATTGTAAGCGAGACTTCGGTGTCTCTTACGCCGTGGACGAAAGATACGTTGTTTACAAAATGTCGATGGCCAATGAAAAGAAAAGTTATCTGTAAAGTTTGGATTTCAAATATAAATGCAGATAATTCCCAAGGGTAGCAATGATGAGAAGCATGATATTCATATTATAATATTACAAAGTTTACTTATAACAGAATCACGTGTCTTTGTCGTGTCAATCATTCGGCTTTAGTAATCTCACTGAATTTTATTTCGATTTCATAGTACACTGTGTACATGCATTGCTGCGTTGCCCGAGGGCTTTAGAAAGCGAATTACTTCACACTTTGATTATAAAACGGACGAAACTGGTTGCATGGAAACCTAGCATTAGCGAAGCCTTTAGAACTCAGGTATTTAACGCTCTCGAGAAGTGTTTCAGCTTGCAAATGGCCTTAGTGGATATGAGCTTTCAAGAGTAACCGCTCTTCTTTCTATTTGTTTATAGCAGTAGACGTATCCCTGCAGGTTTATTGTGTGCAAGTGGGGAGATTAATCTGTTCTTTTTACGTGTTTCCATCATTGTAAGAACAAAATGGCCGAAGCAGCTGAACCTGGTAGTGGATTTAACTCGAAAAGCGTTGCGTTGCGAGCGCAGAAGAAAATCCTGGGCAAAATGGCCTCGAAAAATGTGGCGAAAGCTTTCGTGGATGACACCACAGGCGAACTGCTTGATCAGCTATACAAGCTAGCGAAACTGGAGACAGGAAATAAGAAAGAAGCTGAAAAACTCGTGAAAGACTTAGTCAAAATTGTCGTCAAGATCAGCATACTGTTTCGAAATGACCAACTGAACCGCGAGGAAATTCAAATAGCAGAGAAATTTAGGAGAAACTTTCGATCTGCAGCCATGACTTTTATTAGTTTCTACGAGGTGGATTTCTCTTTCGATAAGAAATTTTTAACCAAGAACTTGGAGGACTGCCGAAGCCTGATTCATCAAATTATCGATCGGCACCTTACAGCGAAATCGCATGGAAGGGTTGATCACGTTTTTAACTACTATGCAAATGGTGAAATGTTAGAGCGTGTGTTTCAAGCAAACCGCGATGGACCTTACGGCACTATCCTTAAAAACATTGTAGACAATCTTAATAAGCTTATGGAAGAGGGCAGTTTATAGAATACTGGGCTTTATTGAGGTTTGCCTTGTATGTAATTGTGCATTTGCTTTGTGACGACCCCTCTTGATGCAGAAATAACAATCTTTCCGTTTGGCTTGATATATCCTTTTCAAAGTATGCAAGGCGTGTGTTTAACATACACAGCCTTTATTGTCATGATATTTATTTAACCTTTGCTTATATTAGGCCTGTAAGCGTTGAAATTTTTGAGGAAGAGCCCAAAATATGATTTGAAACCTGGAAAATTTTGTCGCGACCGCATATGTTTCTAATGTTTACTAGCACCAGCTGTCCGACCTTCCTGTTAAAATTACATGGATTTCTACCATTTTCGTGAATTCGCAAGGCGGAGGTTGGTCGTCGATGCAATCGCTATTTTTGGACAACTCGCTGAAGCCAAAGTTTCCCTTGCGAACTGTGAAATGGTTTTAAGGGCTTCTCGGTCTTTTCTGAGTTACTCCTAGCTGATTTAATTATTAAAATTTTGAGACTTGTTATAATTAAAGCAATCGTAGATTTTCAGATGTTCTTAGAGTTTCATATCATCGTAACCATTTGAAAAAAATTCGCTCTTTATGTACGATTTAATATCTTAAACTTTAATCTTTATCAGTGGCCAATCTCATGATTCTTTTAAAGGAGATTAAAGCCGACATTTCGTGCAATTTAACTCTGCCATTAACTCTACTTCCGTTACGAGAACCTTTGAGTTTTGAATTATTTCTTTTATTTGAGAAACTATTTCTGAGATGAAATCTTCAAACTGCAAGTGCTATAGAAAGATTTCTCGGATTAAAAAATATCCTAAAGAATTGTATAGTATAGTAGAGAAGTGATTAAGTGACTAACTGTTTAGATCGTGAAAATTTGCTATATGTTTTAAGTCGATTTTAGATAATGGTGACATTCAAAAGAATTATTCCGAAATCCTTTTGTTTTATTTCCAATCAAACATACTGTTGATTTTCAAAAGAAAGAAAAAAAATTTTGTTTTTAATTTTTTTCTCAACAAATTAAAATGTAGGTACAGTATTAGAAACAAATGACTTTAAAAAGGTTGATTTTAGATGTCTGTAAAAGGGTTAGGGATAATTTTAATATTTAATGACTTTGGTTGTAAGTAATGGTTGTTCCTAGATTTTTAGTTATGAGTTGAACATGATTAAATTAATTCTCCAGTGGATTTTATTTTGAGCTTATGGGCTTTTTTGTTCTCTCTTATCTCTGCTAAATGTTCCTTGAAATTAATTTTAGAATTCAATTAGCCACCTTTAATTCTAAATGATCTAAAATTCTAACAGTTCATTTTGGAAAAAAGACATCTTGTCATTGTAATGACAAAATTAGAGACATTTGCACCAGGCAATTTTCGGTTTAATGAGAGGTGACAAGTCATGGCTAATTTTTAAACTGGTGCTGATGTTCAGCTTTGATTATTTATTTTGATGAGTATTCTTAACCTGGCACATAAAACTATTGTGCATGTTCATCTGCACGAGTAATGGGATGGGGTAAAACTCTTTCAAATAATGTACTGGTCAGTTAAAGTTGTATAATGTAACAAGGAGTGTAGATTCAACAGGACTATTGTAATGTGGTTTTAGGTGTGCCTACAGTTAGGATCAGATCAGTAAAGAGCATAAGATAGATGTTGCCAATTCATAAATGGCTGTAGATGCTCTTTTGATATCATCTGAAGATAGTGTTGAGGCGATTTTCCACCGTTGTCTTATAACTATATTTGGCATCAATTCTACCTGCACTATGTACATGAAATCTTTTAACAGAGATTGAAGTCCATTGAGTGTCCAGGGGAAGTTTATTGAAATATGATCCTGTAATTCTTTGATCAAAACAGAGAATAAGGCTGCACATATTTTACAAAATGAAAAGAGAATCCTTCTCAGCTGACAAATAGAGACAGGTGAAAGATACAGCCTGCAAAATGAAAAAAGAAGTGCTATTAGCAGGATCTCATTAAGGAAATGTGTTGATCTCATTTGAATCCCTTCTAAGTAGGTTTAATCCTTTTAATCATATCAACATGGACTGCATGTTGTCTATAAAAAGTATCTCAAATAATGTATAATAACTTTATCATACCATTGACAGTATAATTGAGTGTTTTTAACAACTTGTTTCAGGCACAGTCTTTGACATGACAGCACATTGGAATTTAGAGGAGCTTTCTACAAGAGAATAAAGCTCAGAGTAAATCAAGCTTGATTTTGATGGTTTTTCTAACCCTAAGCCCCTGAAAATGACTGGCATCCAATTTCTCCTTACAGTATCCTCCCTGAATCACTTATTTATGTCACATGAATCAAGAAAATGATCAACTTAAGAAGCTCTTGATTTTCAAGGAAATTCTAGTTGTCAGCACCTTAGAAAATGCACAATAAACAGTATGGAGAATATGCATACTGATGTTAGGGTGTTAAGTGTTTAGCCTGGCTGACAAATTCTCCCATCATCGAGAGTGGAGCATAAGCTTATTTTACACACAATGACTGGCTATAACACTGATAAACAAAGACCATTAGTATAAGGAAAAGAAGCAACAAAGTTATTCTGCATTCATATCATACCACATCAAGGTGTTCAGCCTAATGTTAATTGCTCTGCTCTGCATGTTCTCACCAATGGATCATGCATGCCCCTCGAAATTTAATAAACACCCTTCCCACTTCTATGTAACTCCAAAGTATGAGATTTTTGAAAGAGTGCCAGGTTTTTTCTTAAAGGATCCCCTTACATCCAGGGATAACCAAACTTTGGCAAAGATATTTGAAATATTTCTGTGGGTGTTGTGATGATTTGATACAACTTTGTCTTCAGCACCATTTTTGGTAAGATCAGTTTTGATGATTGTATAATTGTTTCTCTGGTGAAGGACACAACTCTATATGCTGATGCAAAGTTTTCTGCCTGTCTGCTTATCATCAATTAGTGGATTATTAGTTAATCCAATACCAAATTGTCAGAATTAATTAGCATCTAAAGTCTAAAATCATCTGTCTAAAGTGTAAAAAGCTGGTATTAACACACGTAGCTACCAGTAATTAATACACAACTTCTGATGAAAATAGATTACTTCTTTTTCACCTGATTGCGATAACTTGTATGTGCAATTCCATCTAGTTAGTAACATTCTTAATACAAAGCTACCGCAGTCAATTTTTTTTAAGTTTAGGTAATTATGAACTAACTTTCAGCCTTGCATAATTCATTCAGATTTATCAAGTACTAAAACCAATGTAAGTCTATCGAAGTTAAGCAGTTATCCTTAGTCACTTTAAGGCACTACGACTTCAACACAGTCACGAAGACTTGCACACAACCATGTCCTCCCCTCAGGCCTGTGCATAGGAAATGTGCACAGAACAACTCTTTCAATTTAATTAATTCGTTGTTTCAATAACGGCTGAAGGAATCGTACTTAAAAGTACGCGCGCGATGAAATATCGCGAGGTTTGTTTACGTTTATTTGCAAGAATATTTCCCGCGTTTATTTCATGTGTTTATTTACCGCGAGATACTCGGGCCCATAAAGTTAAATATGGTAATGATAACCTTGTATGGTAATTTTTACCAAAACCATCTGCGCCTCGCGAAAAAGCTTCGTGAAAAGAATACAAACATATTGAAATCGTGTCAATGTACAGTTTATTATCACTGCTGAGATTTAGGCAAAAAGGACTCGCTTCTAGTCGTTAAGCGATACAGAATCTCATCTGTGACTTTTGCGCCGTTTTTTGATGTTCGTGCTCGCTTCAAGATGCCGAAAAGAGAGCCGAAGACGAAGGTGAAGAAACATCAAGTTGAAGAGTTGTCACTGCTGGTAAATGGTTTGAGCTTTTCATCGCTGGATGTCGGATCCATCAGGGATGCAATTCAGAAACTTGATGCTCGATTAGAAGAAAATACAGCAAGGTAAGATTTCAAGGAGATCGATTCCTCTTTAGGCGGTTTTCACGAAGTACAGATGTGGTCCTATCTTCTTGATCAAACAAATTAATTTACATTTTCGTCGACTTGCTTGTTGTGAAAACCTCAGTCATTCTAATGATTTACACTATTAATATAACTTAATAAAATTCATGTAGTAAAAATCTACAGCACCTCCTGGCTTCACTTGCATTTTTCTTTAACCCTTTAACTCCTACAAGTGATTAACATGAAACTTCTCCCTATAATATCCATACATTATTCAGCAAACAGGTAATGAGAATATTCAAACTTGTCAAGTAGAAGCTGCTATCTTGATCTAGCACCAAGTTCTCAAAACTAATTTATAAGGAAATTTGTAGCAAATAGAGGTAAGAATTAACAATTAGATCTTGGGAGTTAAATGGTTAACAGCTAGGGTCTTAATTAAGAAATGTGGAAGCAAAGGAGTAGTGTAAGTTGCTTGGATAATATATAAGCCTGTTACAGAATAGAAATACCTCAGACCATTGAAATGAAGCTGGAGAATTCCCTGATCCTTGTTACTGGTTGAACCCCTGTAATCTGCGCCTTTGTGTCCAGACATAGTGTTTTGTGTGTTAGTACTATGAATGGTGAAATAAGTTCCTCTTCTTTTGACAGCTTGCAAGAAAGCTGGGGCCAGTTTGTGGATGTTTGCAGCACAATTTCTAATGAAAAAACTCAGGATCCACCAGAATGGTTGAGCTCCAAAGATGCTGTAGATTTGTTGGCATCTTCTGATGTTATACAGACCAGTTCTTGTCCATATGAACCTATTGCACTCAACTGTTTCTTAAACAATGTGGTGAGTTTGTAGCAACAATGCAATGCATTTTTCTTCCTGTTTACTCAAAAAGCATACTTTTTCTATCTTCTTCTTATTTTTATTCTTGTTAGTGAACAGTTAGTTTTATGTGCAAGAGGCTTAATTTTGAGGGTTACACTCAAAATAAAAAACCTACACTTAATAATAATGGGCAAAATTTTTAAAATTAGTTACAGATACATTACAAAATGGATTCCAATTAAATATTTCTTGTTGCGATTTCTAGAAGTAATCGATAAAATTGATTACCCTTGTCTTTGTAGATTCAAGCCTTAGAGCGAAATCCAGGTAAAGAAGAGTCGATATTTGAAGATCTAGTCCAGTTTGCTTCCCAACAAGGCATTTTAATGCCATTTGGTGCACCAGAAAAGAATGGAGATGGTGATGAGACATCTGAGTTACCTCTGAACACCATTGTGATAGAAGATGAACAAGCCACTGATGTATTGTGGGAAGCTATTAGAAGAAAAATTCGCAAAGGAATGTGGACACTTCTAGCAAATCTACCTCTCTCAAACCAGCACAATGAACTTAACTGTGATCAGCAAACTAAAATTAAACTTTTAGCTGACTTGTGTTTTCTGTACCCAGCTGAAGACATCTGGAAGGGATACCAGAATTATAGAAAAAAGCTGCTGGATCAATACATTGCGAGCGAAGCTTTGTTAGAGGAAGTAGAAACAGACCTTGCCATGTCATCTGAGACACCCAATGATGTAAGGATGTTTGTCAAGTTATGTAAAGCTTCTGAAATAATGATTTACGAGGATGCAATGATTCTGCAAGAAGGAATTTTCTCCACAACAGTACCTAGTGTTGAGTTTATACATGAGTCATATTTATTAAGAATAACTGAAGAATTGCATTCTGTGTGCCAAGCAGTGTATAATAAGGAAAAGGAAGAGCAAGTACTTTTGAATGAACTAGGACAAGCATCCAGTCACAGAAGAGGCTCAAATGTATCATTTGGAAGCAGGAGGGGCTCCACTTTATCAAATGTGAAAAAGATTAACTCTAGAGATATCCTTTTAGCCTATAAACATTGCTTCATGGCAGTGGTTCATTTGGAAAGACTTGTCAATAAAGTAACAAGCCAAAAGGACACAGAAGGAGGAGCAGGTAAATTGATGGTAGTGATGCAGAATCATGCCAAACAATATATTTGTTTGGCATGATTCTGAGATATGAAAAATATGATATGACAAAGACATGTATTTTTATTACTATTAAATAAATGCTATTGATAATTTTCTTTTGGTTAATAAACTTCAGGAATTTTGATAAATATTCATCAAAATGCAGCTTGCAATCAAATCCTCTCTCTAAAGACAGAAAGATTTAGTGTGTACTTGTATTGAGTGGTCTCCATTTGACAAAAATAAATTGATTCCCTGACTTGTATAGCATCACCAAAGCACAGGGTACAAGGTCTCTCTCCTACACTTTTTGTACACAGGCAAGAATCAGAGGAAGGGAGAATCTTTTTTGTGATGGTTATTTTTTTTTTTGTCCTCTGGGGTGACTGTAAGGAATATCAAGGAATATTTATTATTATTGATAGAAAGTTGTTCCTTTCTTGAGGTATTGCTGCACATTATTGGTTTTTACACTCTCCCCAGTCCATATTTACACTAACTCAAATGTTATAATTTTGGTCATCTAGGAATTAGAGGTACCAGTCTGCAGAATGCTTCAAGGTCTCCCTCTAGTCCTGTCCTAAGTCACAGGAATCCCAGTCGACACAGTTCTAAAAAGAACCCTGATATGCCACTTTACGTAGCAGAGGGAAATTTGCCTTTACCATTTGGTAAGTGCTGGATTTAGAGGCCATGTTCAGATTTTTAGTTTCAGTGTATGTTGTTTGTGTTATGCTTCTAGGCAGGATACTTTTACTCAGAGTGATAAATGGAAGGTAACCTTCGCACAAAACGTCTTTCAGAATAGAACTCTATTCAAGACACTGACTTTTACAAGTAACAACTGTAACAGAAATGATGAACCACAAGGCCTGGACTGAGAGCCTTCTCCTCCCTATTTTTCCATCTTTTGTCTGTGTTTGGTGGAAATCTGAATGAATTGAATTAGTAGTAGTGCTTAGGAAGTGATGAGGTTATTCATTCAAATTTTTACTTATGATTTATGTTCAGGCTCTGGCAGTAGTAGACTTGACTCTCAGCCCCTCAGTAGTGTATCAGCTCCAAACCCCAACTCTCAGTGGCCATGGAGAGAGGAGTTCAAGAGTCACATATCTAAGTTATCAATGGCTCTGAGTGAGAGCATCAAACACACTTGTGAAAAGGCTCTGGAGGAAGGCATGCAGATGTACAAATCTACTCAAAGAATTCCTACAGTCAGGCTTAGAGGTGTGAAAATGAAGAAAGGTAAAATGGTTTCCGTGTTTACATAGCCTGATGTAAACACGCAGGAGGTTGGGAGAACACGAGATAAGCGTAGGAAACCACAATGTGAAGCGGAGTGGTTTCCAGCTTATTGAGTTTTCTCTCAACCTCCCAAGTGTTTACATCAGGCTATGTAAACACGGAAACCATTTTACTTTTCTTTTATAAAATAACTAATGAAAGAGGAACGAAAATGTGTTTACATATGCTCATGTAAAATGGTTTTATGGCCAATCAGAGCACGGGTACTATTTGAATTATTTTATAATAATTATTGTCAGTCATGACTTTCCCTATTCAGTAATACCATAATGATTATATATTTACACTAATTATTGTACATGTAGAATAAACTGGGAAAAACACAGCATGAATTATGAGGCAAATGAACATGTTACACTTGCCAAGGGTTAGAACTGACTTAGCTAAAAGCTATTTTTATTGTAATGGTTCTGTAATTTTTAATAAGCTAAATTTTTAATGTTTTAAGGTTTTATTCATTTTTACTGTAACTGTATATAGCCCATACTTTAAGATTAACTTAACTTTTCCTAGGATTTACCTGTAGAAGTAGTATTTTAGCATGATTGTGTAGTTCTTATTATTTTAATTTTTATCAGGGCCCCAATCTATAGCAGTGCCTAAGTTACCTGAATGGGATACCCTGAATAAATAAAGGTCTTCTTCTTCATCTTCTTCTTCCATACATGCATTTGGGGCAAAGATGTGTGTGGTGCAACTGAATACCAATCTTCCATTTTCACACTTTCCTTAAATTTAAAACTGAATTCAAATCAACGTTTTGTTTTTTTCAATTTTCCTTTTAACTCAATAGTTCCAGTCAAGAATATTTGACAATGTCTTGTTGTGGGATTCTTTGTTTGGTAACACAACTAAACAGATTCTGAGGCTGAAGTGTTTTTTTTTTTTGGTTTATTTCTCTCAATCAGATGATTTCATTGGTGGTAAACAGGACTATCCCAGGAGGATTGATAAGGTGTGTTGATTTTTTAATTTGAATTACGAGGTTCAAGTATGATTTACTGTCAATCAATAAGAATTAAATTTCATGTGATCATTTGATAAAAATTTAGTGTTGTGCAGCCATTATGGATGAAGCTGATGAAGTTCTACCATTAGCCAGCAGTCAAGGAGGGAAACTATTCCACGTTATCAGATCATCTTTTGTGGATTCTCTTGAAGCATCTCTGAAGAGTTACCATACAAGATTGACACAGGTACATAGCAGTCAAGGTTTCGCAAGTCACACAGTGGTGTTTCCAGTTTTGACTCTTCATCAGAGCACCTTGAACTTAGCTTATCTTTATCGTATGTTAACCTCTTACTTCCTGAGTCTGAGGGCAAATTCACTCAATGTATGTAAAAACATTCTTCCCTGGATGGTCTGTAAATTTGGTGTTACTGTACATCCAAATGGTATTGTTGGTTGATGACATTCTCATTTCTCATTACATTTTTTTTTCTAATGCATTTAAAGAGAAAATGCCTCAGGTGTCAGTGCTCTTTCCTAATTTTAGAATAAGACTTTTTAATTAACTCTTTGTTTATTGGATTCCCCTGTCTATTTTCAAACACCCACAAACTGGATTGCAATAATAATCAATACAAAAATATGTACAATGTAAGTGGGTTCCAATCCAATTGATGTATATTAGACAAGATAGTATTTTTTTGTCCCAAAAATATGATTGCAAATAAATTTTAAAAAGTGGGACCATTGTAGGGAAGATTGAATCCTTTATCTCTTCAAATGAGAAACCTGTTTCTTGAAAAGAAATGCTCATCTAGTGTCAAACCAGATGAGACTGTGATTAACTTTTGAACAATGCTGTACCTTTTTGTCAGTGATTTTAATTTATTGCACTGTTTTTAATTTCAGCTTCTGTCTGACTTTCCCAAAGTGTGTGATGTGGAGTGCCTCTTCATTGTTCTTGGTAGTGCTGTTTTCATCAGGAACCACCTGGTTCACTATGAAGATGTCTTAGGCTCTGAACCAAGGTACAAGGTTTTATTCATCAACAAGTGACCTGCATATATCAGTGCTAGAATAAAATGTTGAATATACTTTCACATGACTGTGTGATTGTTTTATGAAGCAGTATTGTTTCATGTGAGTAAACTATTACTCTTCCAGGGTGAACAAGGTGGTCCTTCACTCAAGTACCAACGACAAAAACTTATGTCTTACATTTTCTCTTTGTTTTTAGACGCCCCTTTCCTTTGTTACACCGACAATTCAGTGATCTTGTGGATAGTGTTAGTGATCAGATCATCAGTTACCACGACAATGTGATTTCTATGGTCATTCTACAAGATGCTCGCAGTAATAACTGGTCAGACTCCAGACCTTTTTTCGAGGTGATTATGGTAGTTATTACTTGAAACACGTACTGTGGCTCACACCACTGTGATACTTGACTTAGAGTTTAGGGTTAGGGTTGGGAAATGTTCATGTTTGGGCCCTCAAGCCAAGGGAAATTTAGAAAATGGAGAAAAATACTTAACTATACCAGTACAGTGTACCGCCTTCCATATAGGAAAATACTGTGAATGAGTTCCAGGAAACTGTCAGAAAAAATTGACCCACTTGGCTTAAGTGCAATAATTAAGGAGGGAACTGAATGTTAGAATGTGCCACTAGAGCACTGATCTCTGACAATGTTTTATCATTTCAGAATGGTATTCTAAGGAGTTAGAGAAGTTGTAATAATTATTTTGTCACAAATACTGCTGTATGAATTGCTCTGCAGGATCAAAGGTGTTCCTTTTCTGTTCAGATGTGGAACTACCATCTTCAAGGTTTGCGACATGACCTTTGGAATTACTGCCCTCCTGAAAAAGCTCAGGAAATGTTTACATCTGTTCTTCACAGTTCTTTAGTTACCATAGTGACAAGATACAGCCATGTTTGTCCTACAAGCAGACGAGTGAAACAGTTTAGGTACATGTGTAGATTTAAGCAGAATTATTTGATTTATGATGTTTAACTCATCTAAAAAAGAAAAAGAGGATTACCAGTAATTTCTATCATTTACGTACAAATCAGTTTTACTTCACCAAATGCTCTCCAGAAGCACTAGCACCTGGTGGTTTGTTTCTGAGGCGCTGGTTACTTCAACAAGACAAAACAGCAAAATGCTTTTCTCTAATAGTATATGAAATACACTGTATAATTTTCATTAATCTTTGCTTTCTTTTGGTTTATGATATCTCTCAGGTTATTATTTACCTCAGTTAATATGATTAGTCAATTTAGAGGGCCTTTTTTACTCCAAGGTCAGAAGTTTGTTTATATTGAAATCTTTCCCTCTGTTTGAACTAAGAGATATTTTGATATTGTACGGACCTCAACTCAGTTAGTAAGAGTACATTTCTCCGAAAAGAAAGAAAACAATTTGTACAAGTAAAAGTGTTTGGGAAAGATGCCAGCAGAGAAGATGCATGTGCCCTTTAGGCACTCACTTGTTTCTTGTAGGCTTCTGTTTTTTATGGCTGGCTTCTTGAGAAATTTCTGGTAAACGCTGTTCATTTATGTGAATTGACCACCGTTGAAAGTTTCAAAGCTGACGTTTCGAGCGTCAGTCCTTTGTCAGAGCGAAGGGTTCTGATAATACCGAATTATCATGTTATACCCTCCCACCGACACAGCACCACAGTTTAATCTTAATCTCACCTTAAGAGACTTACCCCCCTTTATTCACTGTTCGTGTACGGTTTGGCTCCCTTTCGGATAATGTGTCAATGCATCAAGCCAAGATGGACCGAAGAGGCTGCTATTATTGGCCATAGGAATTGAAAACAGGATTTTGATTCACTTCAACCACTGTTTGCAGTAGTCACACAGCATACACGTATAGTTGTTGTTTTTTGAAGGCACTTTGATACATTTCTAAATAAGAATCGTGGAAGGATACTTTAACACTACTTAAACCTTTATATATGTACGAACGCTTTCTGTAATTTCTATTAACGATCTTCGCAATTTTTTGTGATAGGTATATAAAATCTTGTGATTGATACATGTACCTAGGTTAAAATATTCCTTGTTTGTTTTGCTTTTGGCTGATATTGGTGGTTACTACACTTGCCCGTAAATGAGTGAGTAATAATGATGTTTTACATATTTGTTTCAGATCAGACATCACGGCCATGTTATTGTCTACATTATCTTTTTTGTGGTCGTGTTGCAAGTCAGTTCCAAGTTTGTTAGATCCCCAGTGTTCTGTGGCTCCATTTCCAACGATTCACAGCCTTTGCTCTTGTCTGTTAACCACACTGGTAAGATTAGAGCTTTTATATAGACTTTTTAGCCTCACCATTAATAATTCGCGTTTTAAACCGGGTGTAAATTGCCGGTTTTTCTAAATAATGTGGCCTAGGTTCACAGCCTTTGCTCACAGCCTTTGCTCATTTCTGTTCAGTAACCACACTGATAAGATCAGCACGTTATATTGACTTTTTATTATGCAACTCACGTTTTAAACGGGTAAAAATTACTTCAAAGTAGAGTGGCCTGGGTTCGATCCCTCAAGGGATTGATCCCAGGCCACAAAGGCAGGACAAGAGCATACTAAGTTTCATCCCAGCGCCTCATCTCAATATTTTCTTCATGAGAATTCTCGCTTACATTCTCCGTTTTAGCATACATGCAGCCAGTAGAGTTGATTTAGTTTGGAGAGCCGACAGATTTCTTCATTAACTGTTTTTGTTAATTATTTTGATCTGACCATGCACATCGCCGGTATAGAGACATTCCAATCAAAAGTGTTCTTTGAACTATATAACCAATGGAAACTAATATTCAAACTTATCAGATAGATCACGATCTTGCATCAAGTTCTCAAAACTAATTTATAAGGAAATGTGTAGCAGCTAGAGGGGAGAATTAACAATCAGATCTTGGGAGTTAAAGGGTTAATTTGTTCCGTCAAGAAGAGTGATCACCAGAACAAAAGATTTTGCACGGTCAGGGAACTCTTCGCCTTTACCGGAGCACCGTTGTTTTCCACTTTGAATATAATGGCTTTCACATTCATCCATTTCTACAACTAACTATGTTGTTGGTTTGTGTCAATACAGGCTGTTGTGGGTTCTCCCTTGGATTCTCTTTGTTCTCATGTCATGGGGGAAACATCAGGATCCACAGAGACGGCACAGTCCAAAACAGCTTGGTTGTCATGGATATATCCCGAAGTTTTTAAAAGTCACGAAGGAAGGTGAGAAATAATTCCAACCTCGTTCCTTCTTTTTGCCCCACTTCCTCCCCTCTCCTTCCTTTTGACCGTCGCTCACCCCCTTGGTACAAATTTCTTTCTCTCCCCAGCCTTCCACTCCCTTGAAAATCAAATATGGCAGATACAATTTTCACCAAGAAAATACTAAGCACTCGTTCTTAAAAAATTTGCGCATGCAAACCGTCTAACGTTGATGCAGGAGATGGGGCTAGCGGTTTATCCATCCGTAGCAACTAGACAGTTCAATCATTTGTTCTGTAATGATAAAAGGAATTGAGTAGCCTGCAATTTACACAGAGACCCCTATAGTTAAGTCAGGGTTTGAGCCAGGCCGCGCCATTGCGCCAATCCCGTAATAAAATTTAAAATGTCCCGTCCAAAAATGATTCAGGGGTCAATTTGTCCCCTTAAAAAAGCGAGCGATTTTTGCGACAAATTTTTTTTCAGAAATGGAAAATGTCCCCCCAAAAATAACCTAAAGGGACAAATTGACCCTAAATAGTCAAATCCTAGCTCAAACCCTGGTTAAGTCGATGAAAGTAAAACCGCGAATGAAGAGAATTTAACACTTCCGTTGGTAGCTCTCTTGTCAGAACAAAGTACATGTAGAAAGAACTAAATAATGTTCGGAATTATTGAATTTTCTCTTTACCTTTGTTTCTAGTTTGGCTGCATTAACAGACAGACAAGCAACATTTGTGCTTTTTAAACTCATGGTCAATCAACCAGGCCCTCAGTGGCCGTTATTCATACGAGTAAGTTGTAATCCATCGATACTATGACTAGCTAGATATAACGTCACGTTTTTAATACTGTACCACAATTGCTTTTAAGAAGGAAGCGACGGAAGCAGTGCCTATCTCCATCCAGGAGTATAAATGGGTACCAGCGAATTGTCAAGGACACTTGATGAAATGCTAAGTGGGAGGGAGGGGGGGAGGTATTCTGCGATGAATTGGCTTCCCAGAAGGAAAATTTGCAATACTTTAATAACTCTCTTCAAGCTACGGAAACTAGATAAGGTTCAGCAGCCATGCGAGCCAGTCAGTAGAGTGTCGTGTACGGACTTAACCTTACACCTCTTATCTTCGCTTTTGTACTGAAAAAGTGTGTGCGGTGTTTATCAATCTATGCCTTTTTTGGCGATCCTCTGCTTCTCTGAAATTCTTATTTAGTTGTTGTTCAGTATGTTGATTTAAATATATGTATGTAGGGAATTCGTGAAAAGCACATCTTAAGATTAATGATCCCATGCCTTACATCCTAGGCACTTCTGAGTAGAAATGCAAAACTGCCTGTCACAATTGTGAAGTATGGAGGTAAACGATAACAGCTCATTTAGTAAATTAAAGTTGCAACAGCAATTCTTAGACCGTTTTTATTCAACCAGAGTTCCAAGCGTATTTTTCAAAGTCCGGCTTCCTTTGACGACCTAAAATCGCAAAATGGTCAATGCCCCACACAAAGTTTTAGTCGCCAAAAAGCAGAAGGGAAAAGGAACGGAGAAAGACAGTTATCTGTTTACGCAGTCAATGATGAAAACTTTTCACCTTTTTACATGATTTCCGAAGACGGGCCGCTAGAATTCAAACTTTCGTTTCAAATTTACTCGTCAATTTTAAACCAACTGAAATTCGTTTCCTTCCTCGACGCTCACAGTTTTAACAGCTGTGTTTTTATCATTACCATGATTATTATTATTACTATTATTCTTATTATTATTGTTAATTAAAAGAAAAATTTGTAATGGATAACTTGGATTTAATCCACTCGGTGTTTTTCGAAAACTCTCCATAAGTAGTACATTATTTGACTGGTTATATATTCAAAGACCAACTTTTGCCTTCAAATGTAAATGAAAGGCCCTTAATTGCTGCCCTGTTGTCAGTAAGAGTTGCTCGACGCTAATCAGTGCTTACTCTTTGCAGAACTCAGTAGTCTCAGAACTCCAGTAAACGGCTCACATAGTGAACTTGTCCAGGCCGCGGGATCAAGCTTGTTTGAAGAGGAATCAACGTCATCAGTTCAGAGTGCAAACAAGTTTAAAGAAGGCGTGGTGTGTTCATTGTATCACATTCTCTTCCAGTGCTCAAACGAAATGCCAGGGCTAGTCAATTATCTCATGGCAATCGTCAGCAGGTAGGGATTCAAATGAAAAAGGTTCTTTTTTTAGTTGTGAAGAAGTTTGATTGTAATCTTTACACTTTTAACCCTCTACTAAGGGAAAGACAAGTTCATGTTAGTTTTCAAGCGATCAGGAACATCAAGGGAAAACGTTTCTTACCAAGATATTTTTCCCCCTTCTTCTGTTTCATTTGCGCAGTTCCAGTGAACTTCATTTCCATGTCCAGCCCGCTAGTAATGAATTTCCAAAAATTCAAATGAAATTGTGTTTGATTATAAATGGTATATACAAAATGAAAGAAAGTCTTAATTTGACCTGTCGATAAAAGACGAATTGCTTTCCACTGGCTGTTAAGAGTCAGAAAAAAAATTAAGACTTCGTCAGGCATTATTCACTTGTCACAATTATAAAAAAGAATAACATCTCTGTCCCACGCTTGTAACTGACGAAAAACATCCGTCCTATCCAAAAGAGTGTCTTGTAAAAGAAAACGAAATTCCGTTCAAGTTGTTGCACATACTGCAGCACTAGATTGGAAACTGAATTGCGTGAAAGAACAATTTTTTTTGAGAAAATGTTTGTCTCAAAATGCTCTTATTCGCCTGCAAAATACCTTATCTTTACTGTGGATGAAGGGCAAAAAATGTAGAGTAATTAAACGAAATATATATTACTCGATTTGGCGCCCCAAAGCTCTTTAGCTTTTTTTTTTTTTCAAGCTTGCGCTTAAATGATAATTGAGACAATACAGTGGGGGAATCGTTCATTTAACATGAAGAAAAAGTGGCATGATTTGGATTTACTAAACGTAAAGCAAACGTTTCGCATTTGGCCTTATATCGCTATCTTCCACTCATAAAGGGCCTCTCCTGAAACATTCACTTGGAAACCTTAGTATTAAACATGCCACTTTCTCTTGTAACCTCAACACCTCCGTAGTAACAAATACTTATGTAACACGCAGCTCGTAGGTATTTTTTAAATATATTTTGAGGGACAACACATTGATTGTATTGCTTATCTTCAGCTCGTTTAAAGAAACTCTTTTGACTATTGCTTTTTGAAGGGAGGCTAGCTGGAAACTTTTTGATGATGGCTCCTCAGGACTGAAGATTTCAGATGCTACGGAGGTATGAATATTACGAAATGACTTCCCTTGTATAATGTCAATCGCGCCCTCAACAGATATCGCGTCATTGCGATCTGGTTATTTTTGCTTTGTCGCACAACTTGTATTATACTTGCCTCATGTCAAACAGTTGTTGATCCAACCAACTAATTAAATCCTTGCCCTACAGTTACAGAAGTTTTTAAGGAGGTACCTCAAATATTTCAATACGTTTTAGACTTAATTTTCGTCACTTTCCATTTTTTCTTATAAATGTAGAGCCCTGTTTGGCTTGAGTGTGTGTTTAAAACGTTTGACCCATATATTGTCAGGTAAGTCTGTTTTAAAAAAGGTTAGCTGATGATTCTTTTGATTGTTCTTACATTTTAACAGATCGAAGATTTCAGTTGAGGGAATTCAAGATTTATCTTCTAATTTCCTCTCAAACGTTTAAAACAGTTTTTGCATCAGGACAGTGAAGAGGCAAAAGAAAGGGTCACCGCGTTTCCATTTGTCTCCAGTGATCATTACGTGAACTTGTTAACTTCCGTGCAAACTCTTTTTTCTTATTTTCCGTGCAAACTATTTTTTTTGAGTACTTTTACTTTGCCAATTGGCCGGATGGGACAAATCTGAGGTGATTACCTTTTGCTCGAAAGTTATGCTCGAAGGGTTAATTATCAGCTGGCTGTACTGAGATTGTATTGTGTTTCCCACCATTTTCCCATATGCTCTTCCATTCCCTTCGTTGACACGAACAACATATTTGTTGTTCTTTTAACGAAGGAAAGATTTACGTCAGTGACAACATCAGTCACAATCCCATCCTCAATGATGCACTTGCTGTACGAGAGGATCTTGATCAATGTTTGACTTTCTCTTGCCAGGTTTCTATATCCATCACTGCTCCTGTTGTGTGAGCAGGACAAGAAAGTGACAAAATCGTACAACTTTACCTCGATGAGCGCACTTCCTTGCGGTTGCGAGCGAAAGAAGTCGCCAAAGACTAGAGACACGAAAAGTAAGTTCTTTAACCCGTATATTTGCCCTTGTGTAATAATATTTCTCTCGAAATTCGAACATAAATAAAGCTCAAAACACTTAATATCCCGGCCATCTTTGCCGCACAAGAACAACACTGAGAATTGGAGCACACGAAGCACATTGCAGTGTGGTTACTGTGCTGTGAGTGCATCATGTTTACTTCTGAATGAGCCAAGACAGAGATTATTAGCATAGCTTGCAAAATGTGTTTGTTGCTTCACTTTGGTCTTATTGACTTTTCTCTGTATCAGTTGCAGTTCCAAATTAAAAGAATCCAAATAAGTGTTTTTTTCTTACCAGTCCTTTCTAAACTTTTTTTTTGTTTTTCTTTAGTTATCTAAATGAAATCATTTTCCATGGATGCTTCTCATTGCAGGTCAGACCGATGTTCAGTACACCGCTCTTCAGGATTTGTTAAATCAGCTGACAAAGCATTTCTGTGCCATCCCGAAAATTATGTGTCAGTTTTTGAACAAGCTTCAAGGTATTAATTTTACTTCTACTTACTACAGTGGACTCTCGCCCTGCGGACACCTCGCTAATACGGACGCACCGCCATAGCCAAGAGCCAGTCCCTCAGGCCAGCCCCCCCGGCAGAACGCATAAAGAAATGACTGAAACAAACGCCCGTTATTACGGACTCTCGCTTTTACGGAAATGCGGACACTTTTATGCCCCCCCCCCCCCCCCCCCTTTAGCGCTTCATTTCACTTGTTTTGCTCTCCCACCACAGCGGATACTTGAATACTTCTTCTAAAATCCTAACTGGCTTAATATAAAGCGACATTTCGTGAGGCCACGTTAGAAACTTTATGTTTGCGTAGATACATATTATTTCATGTGTTCGAAGCCCGCTATCACCGTTCTGTTTTCATTTTTAATTTTTTATTTTCTCAATGCCCGCCAAAGTGGTACTTAAGGTACTGGAGTTTATACTCTTGGGCATAGATATGGTTTGGGCCCCCTCTCTGGGTCATTTTACCCTCGCTTATCGGGCCAAACTGCCTCTGAGTCGAACCCTGAACGTATTTATGTCTGCGAACATAAACTCTGTTCTATTTCCTAACATATTTTTAAACTATATATATACGTTACTCGATTCAGGTTTTGTTACTATTAGGGTCAAATGGTGAATAATTTCTGTCTGTTATCTTGATAAGACTTCTTAATTTACAGAATCGGTGCATCAGAAGTCGACTGATCAATCAAGCGAGACTGCCGGCATAACGGTAGGGCAATTCTCTAATAATGTTGATAATCTGCTTAGGAATTCTTGCTGGTTAGCTTGTTTAAAAAAAAAATGCTTGTTCCGCTCGAAACGTGATTTTCAGACGAAGTCACTTTTCAGGGATGCAGTTAGTTTCTTTTTAATTTTTGCACGCAATGGATGATCAGAAATGCGACTTAACCGACGGGTGTTTGATCGTTCGGTTAGTCGGTCGGGCCGTCAGTTGAAATCCTTACTGATTTGAAATTAGAAGATCCTCGCAGCTAAGGACACTACTGAAACTAGTAGTTGTAAATAGGACCTGAAAAAAATTTCAGGCCCGTACGGGCCTGAAATTTTTTTTTTTTTTTTTTTTTTTTTTTTTTTTTTTTTTTTTTTTCAGGTCCTACTTACAACTACTAGTTTGTTTGATTGTAGTGCAAATATGTGAATTTTCATATATCTAAATCTTCCTTACTGATTTGTTTTACGACGAGTTATTAATCTTTTAGTGAGTTGATGTTAATTAGTGAGTCCAATCTTGCAGGTCTTGGCCAGCATTCTGTATCGTTGGCTCATGGATTTCGACAAAGTTTGTGTGGCCTGTGAGGCCCGACTGAGCCCGGAGACTCAGAGAAGCGTTGCTATGTTTGCTGAAATAGTTTGGCATGTTTTTGTCAATTTGGGAAGAACAGAAGGTTGGCGATTCCACTGAATATTATGCTTCTTCTTCTAATGACCCATGTTTGATCTAGCAGTTCGTGAAATTCTTCTTATGAGGGTGTGTGAAAGATAGCGAAAACCCTAAGAACCCTAAGAATGGTGAAAAACTAAGGATTAGTTTCCTCAAACACTGAAGGCTGATAAGAGTTTTTACTGAAAAGTATTTCTGATCATTGAAAGATTTGACCTGTATTTTTTTGTGTTTGATTTAGGAGGTGTACGTAACCCAGCTCTCCCATCTGATCTTGATGCTCTGTTGATATCCAAGAGGGACTGGTTGAACCAAAAGGTTGGACAAATCAAAGCTTACATAGCAAGCCAGTAAGTACCGCGGCTATAGTGAAAGTCGTGACAGAGGAACTCGTTGCGTTACAAGTCCATGTCTGCAAACTGACTTATAACTGGCACTATAGAGACGCTTCATATGACTATGTTCAGCAATCAGAACAATTCTTCTTTTCTTGTTGTGCAGGCCGTATGAAGAATTTAGTGTGGAGACTGTCTGTGAATCATTAGCTGATATTCAGTTCACTCACATGGCGTCAGCACTCCTTGCGGAACCAAAAGGTAAGAATCAGTATTTGTATTCTTTCTAAAACACGCCGCCATTGTGTGAAAACAATTGGATCGCCTGGATCTTCAGCAGAATCGGGGTGTGGTAAACCTTGGCCGTTTTGTGAAGTAAAATCGCTCTCCTTCCCATCGATGCAGAAATTTTCTTCAGTTCTGCCGATATTTCTTACTCCTTTGGGGAGCAGGCAAGGCGTATGGATAAGAGCGCGCTACTTACACCGCTGCGGCCGATTTCCGTACCTGACGTCACATGAGGGTTGAGGTTATCGTTGGCTATCTTTCTTGCTCCGTGGAGTTCTTATCCGGGTTACCAATTTTCTAGCCCCCTTAAAGACAAATACTCCAAATTCGAAGTTTGACCTTGAAAAGAGCGAACGAAGCGCCATCGCGTTGAATTAACCCTGATAAATTTCCATTTCAATTTTCACTTCAGTTATCTTCAGTAGGTCAGCGCGTCCCATAGGCTGTAGAGAGAAAACGTCATTTTATTTCGTGCAATCAATCTTCGATACGTGTTTTCAACGGCTTTATGTTCCTGGATTGTTAATCAATGCTTCTGAACTGTTTTTTTCCTGCAGGTGCAGCGTGTCTGAAGCATGCGTATAATTTCATTCAGGCCCAGAAGGTAATTTATGTAGTTTTTGGGTTAAACGCTGGCTTCAAAACACCTGACATTTTCTTCACCTGATCTAGAGGTTTGTTTTGGGTTCATGGTGTGGCTGAGTTTTTGTATTGAGTCTTGTAATAACTATGAAAACCTTACACAAGTCCTGGATTGCTCTCAGTCACCCATTTATCTTCACGTTTTAATTTCCCAGAGCGCATGTGCGTACGTTACCCTCGTCTCGTTCCAGTCCCTCCTGTTCTAGTTTCTAGCGCCTAGCTTTTTTCGACATGCAACAGATCAGAAAAATTTAGATTCACTTTTACAACTTATGCGAACGGCTTATGTCGCTTACTGTTCTTCTTGTCTTTGGAGAGGACCTGGAAGAAAAGACAGCGAAGAAATTGCATTCCTAGCAATTGTCGGATGTGGTGAACAAGTTCGGTGGATTTTCTGTCGTATAATTCTTTTATTTGAATTAAAAGTGGCTATCTGAAAGTTGTTTGCCAGCAAATTTTGTCAGGGATCGTCTGAAGTAAAAATCCTCTGAAGAGGCTGGTTAACAAAAGCGTATTTGTTTCCACGATAAGCCCTTCCGAAAATGACCGAGATTTTACTTACAAACGTGAGTATAGGAATAGTTAATAGATTATTTCGAAAATAAATTCTGATGGAAGTCATATCTTAAGCAGCGTTTTTTTTTTTTCATGGCTAACCAATCTCTCTCAATACAACAGGACTGGCTGATGAACTTGGTTCTCGTCCCAGGTCATTTACTTCCACCTGTACCGTCAAACTCAATTCCCGGGACCGAACAAAGTGAAAGGTATAACCCGCTTCGACAGTTTGCTCTGATTGGTGAGTGCGATTTCAATCAAGACAAGATAGCCTCGTTCCCTTTTGATTGGAGCACATTACTTCAGAGTTGTCTTGGGGCATCCGCGGACATCGTGAAGCGCCTGGCTTTCAATAGAAGCGAAATGCAAGGAGGGGCTTTTCTGGAGGACAGCCAGAGACAGCTTGTAAATGCGCTTAAGGCACATTTTGGGATTACTGTGGATGGTGGGAATGATGAACAAAGTGGTTGAAGAAGGTCCGCCTGTTTAGACAAACTGTAACTTATGTATAGTCACTGTTATAAATCGTTAATTTTTTTCTTGAGACTAGCGAGCATGAATTCGACTGATGTTGGTAAAATTATTAATTAAGAGAAATATGAATAATGTAACCAAGGTTTATTTGTCTATTTATGTAAAAACGGCTTAAACAGATACATTGGAAATACCTACAATAAGCTGCGGAATAAACTCATTTATTTGTCCTTCGTGAAATATCCTCTCGTGTTTTTATTTAATTTTGTTATTTTACGTGAAAATTTGTGGAATTTTGTTCTGTACTTTCTCCATCTCTTGCTCTTGACTTACTTGTGCGATTTGGTCAAGAAGAAGGTAATTTATATCTTTAAAAATATCTAGTTGAGGCAACAGCATGATCTTTACCCGTGGGATTTTAATGAACTGTCGACATATTTGCTCAGTTCGTTTCCAGGGTCCTCTCTCTTCTTCCCCACAAAGTTAATGAAGTTGGGGCTTAGGCGAGAAGAACAGAGACAGGTATCCCAAGAAAAGCTAAAAGCCATTTTTAAAGCTAGAGGAAAAGAGCAACAGGAAGTGATAATATCTTTAGATATAGTTTTAAGTAAAGTCTTCCGAAAAAACAAGATTACGGACCAGTCCAGATCTGACGGAAGGTGTAAAGAAGCCAACGAATTTCATCAAGATTCTGGTGCTCTTTCGAATCGGACTAATTCACCAGCGCAAGTAAAAAGCGAGAATCAGTCCTTTATCGAAGAAAAGAGCGAGGCGTATCACTTAGCACAAGTCAAGCTCTTTGTATCTGGGTATCTTTCACTTCTCAGGAGCTCATGTTATGCAAGATGCATAAGCCGCTTGCTGATTGGTTGAGAGAGATTATACATCTGTCTCATGACCTGAAAAACGATAGATAAGTTCAAACTTCCTTTTTTTCCAAGAATGTTGCGGTATGTCAATTTTTTCCTGTTTCAATTGATTATGCGAATTTAAACGCACTTGAACTTTGAAAAATTAAAACCGAAAAATGAAAGCAATGCTATGACTCATTTCCTCGGGAAAGTCCTTGTTCAATGATTTCCTGTTTTTCTGAGAATGTCAGGCAATGGAAAAATGCTGTGAGATCATATCGCTAGTCTCCTACAGTATTCAAACGCTTGATATTATAAAACGATTTCATCAAATGATTCCATTAAATAATTCCATCAAATGAAGAGTAGCATAGAGAGTTGGCGTTTGTACAAGATCACTTTTTTAAAGTGATCTGGTACAGCCAACTACTGTACTACTATTATCTTGCTCTCATCTTTCAGCTTTCATGCAAATGTACAAGTTGTGTTCGAATTTCGACGGATACAAATGTCAATCGAAAATAAACAGAAACTATGAATAGAACAGAAAGCTACTCGAGAACCCTTCTGTTTTTCCTTGGTACTTAACGCTTATCGCCTCGCGATGACGCCATCAACCAGGATGCATTGAAAAACTCGGTGCTATCCAATCCTCCAAATTTAGTCAAATTTGCCAAAAAAATTTAAATATGGCAAAGCTGGATGAGACTGTGTTACAAAAAACAAAATAAATTTTCTTCTGTGTACTTCTGTTCTTTTAAAGGATACTTTCTCTCCCTCAGAAAATGACTCTGGAGATACGTTTCCCAAAATCTCGATATAGGTATATCCTCTGTTCTTTAAGCGTATTTTGAAACTCTTAACGTTTTTCATTAAAACGTGGAGCGTGGCGAATTCACTCTTAACAGGCGAGAAGAGCTGAGACAGTTATCGGGAGAAAAGCTGAAAGCCATTTTGCAAGCTAGACGCAAAGGGCCAGAGGAAGTGAAAATATCTTCAGAGATGGTTTTATGTAATATCTCCCGACAAGACAACATTACGGACCCGTCCAGATCTGAGAGAAGGTGTGAAAATGCAAACGCATTATCTGGTACTCTTCCGAATCAGACCAATTCACCAATGAGAGAACAAAGCAGGAATCAGTCCTTTAGTGAAGACAGAAGTGACACATATCACTTAGCACAAGATAAGCTGTTTGGTTGCTTACAAAGAACCTTAAGCTGGGAGATGAATTAACCCAAGTTGGAGCGGCGGGATTCTTCACAGAAACAAGACACCTCTAACGGCACAGGCCGGCTATGCAACACCATTGATAAAGTCACTCTGGCATTTTTAGGTGAAGTGGGGCAAATGGGCTGATTCTGTGTCTGCTAAGCAAGATCGAGGGAAAGAGCTGAACGAAATGGTAGAATGCGTTGAGGAGATAGGACTCGAGGAGCGAACCGAGGAGTTAGAATTTCGCTGTTGGAGGATGATATCCTCTCAGATGCTGGCTACATAGACTGGAAAGAACACTTGAATATACATGCCTCCTTTACAACGCTTTGGGTCGTCATGAAAGAAGTTAAAAGATAAAGTTACACTTGAACTAAGGTCCATAGCTGCCGAAAGCGGCCATCTTACAAAATATTTACCTAGTTGACATGACGATATGTCACACGAACCTAGGAAGGTGAAGCAAGACGTGTACATACAACAGCGTAAAAATTAACTTCTTTATGTCTGGTTTAACTCTGGTTTAACCAACTTTACTTTAAATATGAAAGAGCCTGATTTCAGTGGTTCTTTTTTCTACGGCTTTGTTTTCAGAATCATGGAAGAAAAATTTATTTAACTTGCGGTTTTTTTCGTTTCTCGTTGCCCCTAAACGCAGTTCTCCAATTCGCTCATTCATACAATACAGTATTTAGGACATTGCAAATTGTCTAAGCAGCAAATTGGTCCTGAAGTGAGCTGAAGTAATCATTTAACAACGGTTTGTTGGCAAGTTATATTTGAGCTTAAGGATCAACTAAATTTGTAAATTTGTTTTAGTTGCATGGCGAATTCTGGATGCCAAATGAATGCGATTTCGATTTGTTCACCGAACTTTCCTAAAGAGGACTTCAGATGCAAAAACAGCTCCAAATTTAGGTTTATTAAATGGTTTAAATAGGACGACTTTGTAAATATTTCGATCTAACCCAATCTTAATGTTAGATTAATCACGGTCTCTAATGTCAAATAAACAAAGGCTAATACCATTTTCAGTAGCAAAACAACTAGATTCGACCTTCTGCTTTATTGGAGTAGTTCTTGCACTTTTTCTTCTCTCGCTTCTGCCCTGTACCTTACAATCTTTCATTGCAGTTTTTAGGCGGTTCATTCAGTGACTGGTTTTGTTTTGTTTTCTCGTGTATGACACGCGTGTGGTGACGACAACAGTATGAGACCGCTGTTTCGAGAACAACTCGGTAGTTTGACCGCACTAGTACAAATGGTCGGAAACACTACGCACGGTTCAGTCCGTTTGTTTTGAAAAATTAAATCTCTATTAGAAATAAGAGCGTCACTCTTTAACACGGAACTCCACGTGATTGAAGAGAACGGAGTGAGGCATTTCTTACAGGGACAATGAAGCTAATATATGATTGTGTTAGGCGAGATATGTGCATGGACCGCGCTGGGAATCTGAATGATGTCCAAGTATGTGCACCAAAAAATCGTGAGGATTACTCATAGTTGTTCAATAGAGATTTTCCTGGCTCTGACATCCTTTTCTGAGGTTGTTCCAGAATTAATTTTATTAAAATAGATCCAACAAACACAATAATATATTGTAAAATTCAAGCCTTCTGCACGCGTGTTTTGGGAGAAGACCTGTATTATTCATCTATGGACGATAGAGACCTCCTTGGGAACAGTGTTGCAAAAATACATAAATTTTGTTCTACTGAAAGTACGAGGCCAAAGAAAATCTTGATCGACAGGACCAAGATTCGTACGGTAGCGAGGGTATGGCCACTTCCAGGAGGAAACTAGTTTAAAATGTCCTTAGCAAACATGGCGATCCCTCTTGATTCATGCATTTCGTTAAACAATTTCCATATACCAACTGTTCCCTTAATTCTCACAACGTGCTTCCTCAGTCGTAGAGCTTTGGGTATAGCAACTGGGAAACTAAATTCACTTGGGAATAAAGAAGCTGAAACTGGTATTCTGCTAGTTCCAAATTAGTTGAAGATTCTAAATTTAGCATAAAATTTACCTTTAGGAACTTGGTTGTGATACAAGTCATAGCTACGAACTTTTCAACACGTTTGTGTAGATTTGCATTTATCATTCAGAAAGAAAACTGTTGTTTAACATTTTCTATAGGGATGTTAACTCTAAAAAAGTTTTCTACACACTGTTTCACAAACTCTGTCTTAATTGTATCATTTGAGCAGAAGTATTCAAGAAATGTTTTTCCGTGTTAAGAATGACATAACTTGATCAAATCCTGCCCCGTTTCTTGCTGAGAAATTCCCTTTTTAAAGAGTTGTTTGTATATGATTCGATTGCTGCCAAACTCTATCAGGCAGATGGAAACTGTTGCTTTACCATGGCTTGTCTTTTCACCTAACAGAAAACTACCAATTGACATTTTGCATCATACAGACTAACTGCCTCTCCAAAACCTGGAGTCGGCACCATCACAAAATAATGTCTATCTAATTACGAGCTGCTCTTGTTCTGCCAAACATAAAATTTAGTCTCCATACTTATTATAATATAACTATTTATTTACTACTCGTCCTCCTCATCAGAGGACACCACAGAAGGTGGCTCTGCCGATGGCAACAGACCGCATGATACCATGTCCTCTTCCGTCATACATTTGGGATCCATGGCACTGAATCGTTTTCCCATGAATTGCCGAAGATGAATCTGCAAATTAAAAAAAAAAAATTAAAGATTAGGAGCATAAATAAAATGCAGATCTGATTTACTGATATCTCTGTCTATCAGCCTATCAGCTTTTAGCTTTAGCCTTGCTTGGTTCACCCTTTAACTCTCATGAGTGACCAAGACAGAATTTCTCCTTACAATATCAATACAATATTGACCAGATAAGTGATAAGAATTTAAAAATATCAATTTGAGAATGATTAGTTGATCCAATACCAAATTCTCTGCACTAACATTATGAGAATTGTATGGTTGACAGTAAGGAGAATTACAAATTTGATCTGGGAGTTAAAGGGTTAAATTTCTTTGGATCAATGTCAGTGTCAAAGCAACTGCGCACCTACCCCTCCCCTGACCCAACAACAGTCAACTGATATAAAGGTAGGGTCAATGTTTGGTTGGGGGAGGGGTAGGTGTGCAGTTGCGAGGATCATATTGTAAGTCAGGTCAACTCAAATCTAGCAAATCTACTGCTACTGCTCGTTATCCGAAAAATTCGCGAAGCGACGCGACACGCGTGAGTGTAACATGATAGCTTTTGTCATTATGTAAATTTTCCGTTGTCTACTCGCCGCTTTTTCAAACCCAGAAGTCCTTTGTTTCATACAACAATGAAGGAAACTTCTAGCATTGAATAACAAAGGCATATGAATCGCGCATTTTTTCGACCATGTGCGCAAAAAAATCGTACATACGCGTCTGACTACACTGCGTCGGAGCGCATGAAATTCGTCTGCGCAGTTAACGTATACGCGAGCGGTACTGTATGTTTTTGTTGGCCAACTGTTTTTTTTTTTTTTTTTTTTTTTTTTCAACAAATCAGTTAGCAAGTTCTGACTATTAATTCTACAAGTTTCCCTGTAAACGAGTTACCAGAGCCACAAATCTATTTATTAATTCTCTGCACTGTCTTCCAAACATTTCTTATAGTTTGAGCAGAGAGAATTTGATGTTTGATAACTAAAGTCTCCCCTAGTTTAGATTTCTTCCTTCTAACAACCACTCTGTCTAAAAATGCATGTGTATTCTGAGGGGAAAATCCTTTTTTGTCACTCCTGGTTAGTAAAATCTAGTGTTTCTTGTTTCTTAGCACACCTGTAGGTAGAGATTAACATCAGCACTCCGGCAAAGATATGGAAAGTTGCCACCCTTCTTTAAATGAGCTCTCTTGGCATCTGGATAACACTTGTAAAGTTCTTCCTTTACTGGCTGTGAGAGGGCACAGTCATCAAAAACCTACGACAGACCCCCAAAAAATGTGCCTTTTATTAAAATAAGATTGAATTAAAATATATCAAAATATGTTTTGTTCTAGAATAAGTATAGTTCTGAAAAATAACATGTTATGAACTAAAAATTATTGGTCATTACAAATGAGATTTGTCTGAAAATAAAATAATAGAATTTATAGAGTAAATTACATCCATTTGAAATCACTGGTGATCCTTGCAATCTGATTGGCTCTAATTGGCACAAATCATTCACAAATCCCACCATTGTTTGCTCTAAATTGCATATTTTCCCCAGCCGATATGAACTTTTAACTAAAATACATTATCCTATCAGATTTCAAGGCGTGTTTAATTCAAAGGAACCAATCAAATTGCAGGAAAATGGAAGAAAAATTTTGCAACTTTTTATAAAACTAGCCCAGTACTGGATGAAGAAAATACTTGTACATACTATCACCATGCTCATTGGCTGAGAACTTGTCAATTAATCCCAAACAGTGCAGAAAGTTAAAATTGAGGGCAGAAAGTTAAAATTGAGAGCAGAAAGTTGAAATTAAATTGATTGACAGGAAAAAGGAATATATAATTATTGCATAATATATAATAGTAATCACATGAGTTTTCTTGTGCAAATTGGAATAAATCTGCACTCATAGACTTTTCAAAGACTACAGAGGCACTTGACCAACAGGCTCATGCAATTTGGTAAGCCTTATGCTGATTTATCCCAAAGTTTTTTTTTTTGGATTTTTTTTGGATTTTTTTTTTGTTTTTGATTAATCCCAAATTGCATGTGATTACATATAAAAATTGAACTCTGCTCAGTTCAATTACCATCAGTTATCAAATGCCCAAAAAAGACAATGGTCTGTATCTTTCAACAAATTAAAAATAACATTGTTTTCTTTTTACAGCATCAGCAAAACCTAGCTAAATGAAATTTTGTACGTTAAAAATGAATGACTGTTCAAGTTACTTTTAAGGATTTTAGGAATTACATTATATAGCTTAAGAGTCAGTTTCACTCATATTTCTCAATTGGATATAGGTCTGGTGGTAACTACTTACATCAATAATAGTTGTAGGAATTCCAGCAAGTTTCTGTGGCTCAACATACGAGTCCAAACAGTTAAGTGTCAATCTTGATGCCAATTCACTTCTTCCCAAACTTTCCAGCTATAAATCAAGAACATGACCACATTTAAGGTATGCTAGGTAAATATTTTAATAAGTACTTTGTGTGTGTACTTGAGGACTGAATAGCACTCCTGAATCTACAAATAACATGACATTCAAAGGTTAAAAACATTTATCCTCATTGTTTGCATTTTGCATCATGGTAAGTCTGCCATTATAGAGCAAACAGGTTGAAAAGCTGGATAACCTCATGAGTGATTTATTAAGAATGTTTAGCTTCTTTCAAATGCTGTATAGCTAATACTGGCCAACAAAAACTGCAGAATTGCAATTACAATAAAATATAATCTACCTTAGGTGTAAAAACTGTTTAAAGTGTACATTAGCAGCCTTGTAAAGTTGGATGCCTGTGTCAAGCTATCATTTTCCATTAACACAATGAAGAATTAATCACCAGTAATAAAGGAGTTAAAACACCCAACTACTGTAGCATGTAGGAGGCACAAGTTTGCATCCCATTGATTCCAGAATTTTTTCAGGTTTGTTTCCTGCAATTTCTTTAATTAAAGCTTAAATCCCTTTGTAACCCTTTCACGTCAGATCTCATTAGTAATTCTCTTAACTGCTTGCCTTAAAATTCTTATATGATTTTATTTTGGAGAATTTAGTACTGGATCAACTAATAATCCCCTAATTGACATTTTTCTTTACTCTCATCACTTGTCTGCTTGATATTGTAAGGAGAAATTATTTTATCTCAGTCACTCATGGGAGTCGAACAGTTAACTTCAGCATCATCTGCATGTCAAAATATAACTTTTTAAATTTCACTGTGAAACCAAACTGAATCTGGTTTCATCATGAATTTTTACCTATCTTATAAATCTTGTCTTATTTATATTTTAATTCTTTATCATTAGAAGGCACTATATTTTGAAATTTCTTTGCATGTTCCTGTTTGATTAATGCATGTAACACTTACCCTCTCCACCATAAAGTCTATTGAATCAGCTATGTCCTCATCAACTTCTTGTGTTGTGAAATTGTTCATAATCATTTTCTTCAAGACAAAGGCAGGCATTACCCAAAAGCTGTTAAAAAAGAAAAAAAGAGGAAATAAATGCAAAAATTAAAATTAAGGAGACTTGCTAAGTTATGCTGAGATCAATGATGTCTTTACTAGAACAATTACCAAACTTCCCTTTTAAAAATTAATTCTTTCCAATGGCTAGGGAGGTTACATCAACCAAAATCCTAGATAATGCAGGAAGTAATAGACTTTTCATTGTCTAGGTGATTGCATTCTTACTAGTGGGCAACAATAATCTGATACAATTGTTTTTAAAAGTCCATCCTGATCACTTCAGTCAGGCAAGGTAGTCATTAAGAGCGAACACATGTACAAGTTTATCACTTCTCATCAGGGGATGTGATCATGACCATCAATGTATTCTACAAGGAGGGGAAAAAATAATCGCCCTATGCATTGTTGTACTAAACTACAGTAAGTAATGTTAAGTGTGTCCTTGAGCCAAACAACCAACCCAGTCAGAGCTTATCCCAGTTTCCATAGCATGAAGTGACTAGAAGTATCACCACTCACCACTCATCCCTGGATTGGATACTCTTACATCCCAAAGTAACCCCCAATTTCTTTTGTTATTGTACTTTCAGTTAGTCAACTTACCTAGAAGCAGTTGAAGTCTGCTGAAAAACAGAAGTATCAGCAAAAGCATTGCACAGAATCAGTGAATGTACTCTTGGGCTTTTGTGTGTCATTTCTGCAAACTTCTGTGCAAGGAAACCTCCAAGAGATGCCCCAAATATATGGACCTAAAAAAGAGGAAAATTTATCAAGTAAGGACCACTGACAATTACTTTTCAAGATACCCTAAAAATCACTTGGTGAGTTACTCAATTTTGATGCCTGTAAGCTTCAATTGAAATTGATACTACTTGTCACACCTTGTTATGTAAATTACATCATGTTTTTGAGTCGGTCTTTGTTTCGTTTTTTGTTTGTTTTAACATTTTTATTTCTATAAAGAAAACCCAACGTTTCAGGATGCTACCTTGCAAATTGTTCTTTTTCACCAATGGTGAGCACAAAATGCATACATAAGGTGCTTCCACTAAGGGCATCAACATGAATTGAGTGTTGTTTGAAATAAACATCACCTTGATGGAATGTGCAAGCAATCGTTAATTTAGCTAACTCTAAGATCTTTTCTGTTTTGAGAGACTGTTTGTGGAGGATATTTAAAAATATATTTTTTTTGATGACTCTATGCTAGCTACTTGTATACAAGGTCTAGAGTTTTAAAGCTTAAAAATTGAGTAGAAAGTCATGGTCACTGAGTTTTCCTTTTTCAAAAAAATGATATTGGCTAGGGCATTTGAACATGATTTTGGCCCCAGGAGCAGGAGTTTATAGGAATTAATTTTCAAAAGTTCAAATAGCTGCGGGGAGGAAGTTGAAGTCTCAAATTGATCATCGCATAAGCATGAAATTTGTCTCATGACCTACTCTAACCCATTTTCTTCTGATCAGCAAATTAATTTAAGAGCTTTAAAGACTAGGTCCCAAACATAGCAAGGTCACTACAGGTTGATAATTTTTTTTCCTTGACTGTTTTCTTTCCCCTATTTTTTTAATTTACGAAATCTGTTCATCTATGAACAAACATTATTCATAGTAAATGGTAACTTCGGAAGTAAGGTAAGGCTGGAGCTATTAGGTTACTAAGTTGGGATAAATTTTTCACTGTTCAAGACAGCCTAAAGTGCCCTTAAAATGTTGGGATCATATGTTGTTAAAACCAGATTTTTCCCATATTTGTTTCAATAAATGTTAAGAGGAAGGGAAGATCTTTCATGGATATCACAAGATTTTTACAACAGGACTTGAATTAAATCCAAAAGATCACCATTGATCTGCCTATATTGGCAAGCAAGTATGGGCAGACCATGTGCAATTTCCTAAATTTTTTTTTGCCAAGAAAAAATAACTGGAACTTTTTAATACCCATTTCATAATTAGGAACCTAAAACAAGACTTCATGCCAAATCAATGAAATGAAGTGGCGGACAAAAGTTCAAAAGTTACAGACTATATGCTTTTTGTTCCCTCTGCAATATATACACCAACCTCATCTAGTTTCAGGTAATCCAAAAGTCGTCTGAAGCCTTCAGTCCACTCACCATATGTCCAATACACAGGATACTCTACCTGAAAACATTATTGAAGATTTAAGATTTAGCATGTTTTGAGGAAAAATTGAGGCAAGGGCCTTCACCATGATACACCTAATACACCTGAGTCAAGTCAGAGTCACTTGACTCTGATGATGACTTTTGCTAAGATTGTGGATATACCAGACAAAATCCACTGACAACAGCTTTTCTCAGGATTACCCTCACCCAGACAAAAAATAATATGATCAAATGGTTTCAAATCATTACTCAATAACACTATGATCACTGAAAAGGAAACAGCTCTTAAAAAGATATCCATTGGACTTGTGATTAAAACCTTTAGACCCTGATATCAGCATGCATATTCTTGACACTGTTCTCTACACATTTCCTAAGATATTGACTAGGAGAATTTGTGCAGCGATCCAAAGCTTCTTTAGTCGCTGATTATTTCTTTAATTCTTGTGACTTTAACCCTTTCACTCCCACAAGTGACCAAGACAGAATATCTCCTTACAATATCAATACAATATCAAGCAGATAGGTGATGAGAATAGAGAAGAATATCAATCATGGGATTACTAGTTGATCCAATACCAAATTCTCTGAACTAACATCATAAGAATTGTATGGCAGATAGTAAGGAGAATTACTAATTAGATCTTGGGAGTGAAAGGGTTAATGTGTGATTCACAGAAGACATCAAGGAGATATGTAAGGAGGAACTAGATCCTAGTTTCTCTCAGGGGATGAAAGAATTAGTACAGGTTTACTCCAGCATTAGGTAAGAGAGGCAAAATATTGCTAAAATTTTAGGTATAGTGTACTCAGTACTGGATGACTACTTTCTTCAAAGTAAAATGGTCATAGTAGATACCCATTATGTCATATTCTTGTATTCTGTATCAAAAGCCTGATGAGAGTTGTCAAACACAAGAGTACTGGCCATCCTTTGTTTTCATAGTATTTTTCAGTAGAACTGATAGGAGATTTGAGAAGGAGAGGGTGCATATATTTTCTTTTCATCATGTAAAACACACACAAATCAAAATTCTTCCATTTGCCATCACAAAGGATAACCCTTGAAACATCAGCTTTAAAACCTCTTTATAGTAGTCAGTTTTCATTATCAATTCAGTAAGTAAAACCAGATTATCTTGTTATACCCTTACTGACACAGCACCATAGTTTCTTGAAAATTTACCCCCTTATTTCATTTGCCTATTTTATATACTTGGTTGCTTGGAATTGCATTTATTCTAAGGGAGTGCTCATTTGAGGATAGGTGATAATTGAATTATTTATTTTAATTATGAAACTTACAGATATCACCCTGTAACCAAGACTTGAGAGGGTAAGAATTTGTTTGAAAAACACATCAGCAGTACCACTTGCAGGGGGTAAACAAACAAGGGGGCACTGTACACTACGAGGACCTGCATCATATATCAACCACTCTTTTTCATCATCATTATCGACAACAATCTGTAAATGAAAAAAGAAACTATACTACATATCAAATTTATTATTTATTTAGTAGTGCACAATAATTGAGAGGAATTCTCTTGAAATTTCAATTTGTCAAAGAAGAACCACACATGCATTCATACAACTGCAGATCAACCATGAAAATTGGGTATTATGTCTGAAAAGTAACTGTATGGATTCACTTGTTCAGAATTGAAAGCCCTCCATGTCATTGTCATCATCATCATCTTTTATTTGCCTTATGTACACAATACAAAAAATTTATTTACAGCAGTTATAGCTAGAAGGCGACGAGACCCAGGAAGCCACTGGGCTTATGGGAGAGCCACCTCAATGTCAAGTGTGAATTTGGTCAATTTTAATGGGATTGACAGGAAAAAAAATTACCTGATTTCCTCTCCTGCAAAGAAAGATACCCAAATTTACTTTAACCCACAATTTCAATGTTGTGGGTTATGAGAGAGGAGCTTAGAGAGTTTGCTCTGTACAAGTTAGATGACAAAAACCAAGAGAGTAGACATCTACATTGGATGAAGAGAGTCAAGACTGGGAACCTACAGAGAGAACATTTCCTATAATAGTGATGGGATGGTTAGATGGGGAAATTGGAAAAGGGATTTTTCCAAGTTGAAGAAGACATCTCCCGCACAATGAAATTAAGTAAAATGTACCTTGCACAAGAAACGATTTGTAATCTACGCAAAATAATAAGCTAAATGAAGTATTCTATAATACAAATAATTGTCTAGTCCTCCTTAATACAGTGAACAATTTATCATACGGTCAACGAGAAGAGATTCAGAAAATTTTGTAAAATGCAACGAGGCATGTCAAAAAGCATTTCCCTTTGACTTCCGTCTAAGTGTATATATGCAATATTGTTTAAATATTTTTTATTAGCACTAATATTCACAATATGGAGGAAAAGTTTCATCCATTGAAGAAAAAAACTTGTCTTGAGCAATCAGTGCATGTGAGACCTCGAGTGATCAAAGTTGGACCGATCATGTTAGCGCAAGCATTGCACGAGAAATGTGCATGATCCTTGAACAGATCAACGCGTATTTGAATCGTTGATTCGTAACATTCTGAAATTCAATATTTTGAGCAATAAACTTCGTGAAAATAGTATGAATGTGTACAGCTTTTTTACTTACCCGTTTCAAAGGGACAGAACTGCGAAAGCTTATGTATTCTTGAGATCGTGTAATTGCGCTCGCACCAGCCGCCATATTGATAAAGCTCAACTCGATTCCAGATCTCCTGTGTGTTTTTTTATGGATGAAGAAGCGACTGAAACAATCGAATTTGTCCAACCTAAAGCTTGAGGTAAATCATGTACAAAACTCCTCCATGAATGCTTAGTAATTGAAGTTCCGGAGGCTCGAAAGGAACTTAAACTGAAATGCAATCCTTTAAACTAAAGTTGGACTCAGTCCTTATTGGGGTCTGAGCAAACACATCGTGTTGATTGAGGACTGGGACTAATGAAAATGAACGCGCACGAAATTCGTACTAAAGGAGGTTTTTTTGTTTTTTTAAGGAAAATTCTTTATCTTTCGTTTAAAAGATGCGTGTCCTTTACTCAAAAAAATAGGGAAGCAGGAAAGCAAACTAACAAGGAAGATAAGTCACAAAGTCCGGATGCAGATTACAAAGTCCAATGAACAATTTTAGGAATCTTACATGACGTATATATCGAAATCGCAGCACAGCAGTTGTTGTGTAGTTCCGGGTTTGCTGAACTCAAGACGACGGGGTAAGCTAGATTCTTTACCTCAATCATTTTATGTAGATAGAGCAATGCTAATGCATGGAAACATTTCTTAAAACTTAGCCGGATACAAAAGGGAACGGTTAGCTTCTTCGAGTGATAAGATTTTGGAGAGAGTCTTCCAATTTTGATCATCAACATCAACTGTAATCGTTACTTCAAATGAATTTATTTACCCCCAGTAAAACGCGGTATATATCTAGATATGACTAGGTGAATGGAACGTTTGATGTAGGATACATACTAGTCTTAAGTTCCATTTCAAATGTCAATCTTGCCTACAAACTTTCCTGCGTAAGTCTGCTCGCAATGAGTTAAATTGTGCGTGACCGAGTTGATCAACTTCAATACGCCGGTAGATGTTGCACCTTAAAAAAAAGGGAAGCATAGCTTTGATGGTACATGATATTTATAGAACGGGAAGAAAATATGAACGCTTTATTGTTATCGAGAAGTCAAAATGGTTTACTTTAACGCGATTATTGCGCGAACCATTCACCATTATGACTTAGTGGAGGAATTGCCAGTAATCGGACCCCATCGATTGCGTGATGATCCCCGAGAAGGCTAGAAGGAAATACATGGCGAAGGTTGTTTCGCCGGTCCAAAAAACGATTTTGGAGAGAGACCAACGCTTTCTCGCCGTCTTTATAATTTAAAAATGGATTTAAACAATGTTGATGCGAGGGAAATGTAGGTTTTTGTTTGAATAACCATAAAATATGTAATAAAATCAACCAAAAAAACTTCTTTCCTCGTGTAAGGTTAATTGTGAATTTGACATCGCGTAGTAGTCTCAATACTACAAGTTTGCTTTAAATCGCCAATAAATAACTTAATAAAGCCCTTTTTAGGTATTTACAGTACTTATATAAAGTATATTTCTGGCTTTTCCCTTGACTCGGTAATACAAAGGGGCGCTACAACAGCTACCTCGAGGCAGCAGGGCATTGAAATGGTTTGTCTGAGCACAGTTGTTGTGATTCATTTAAGCGATTGTAGCGAACGCACTGATAGATTTTCAAATTTTAATTATTTATCCAGTGCACGTGATTTCTGAAATACGTGAAGATGACCCAAATCTCAGTACAATGATAGCAAACAAGGTACATGTAAATGAAAATTTAACGAAGAGCAAGAATATACCTGACAGTTAGGATAATTCTAAGCAACGATAGAGACACTCAAGGAAAATTGGCGCAAAAAGTTATTTGAAAATGCTATTACCGCGTAGAGATTGGAGACTAGGAAACTGCTGAAAGTTGTTGCAACAAATTGTTTGTTGTGATCGCTGAGAGTGAATCAGCGTTGATCATCGGTTCAAGATTTGAACCATTTCTGCTGCGACAATGAGTATTGGTACAAATGGACTCATAAAAACCGCCTTCCAACTGAATAGAAGGCTTTCTGCAGCATTTAAACCACCGATAGTCTTCCAGTCGCTTCAACATGGAGAAGGGAAGCAGACCTCCGCTGTCTCAGGGCACGCCCACAACACCGGACACCGCCCGCTCTGGAACAAAGTAACGTTTATTGATAGTGACGCCCATTTCTACACACGTAGGGTGAAAAAGGTAATTCTTATAAGACTTCACCCTCACAACATCAACATTGACAGTGGAATAGAGATCCCAGAAGGCTGGATGCTGACGATCGAGAAACACAACAGCAGGAGACTCGTGCGACAACGGACCGCAAAGGGAACCTGATACGAAGATGCACCAATAAAGCTTTGGAATACCATCCAATCAAATCTGAGCACAGCAGCATATAAAATAATTTGGTTTCCTCAACTGAGTGGATAATGTACGTTGGCCACCATAAAGAGTTTTTAAATTGACGTTTCGAGCGTTAGTCTTTCGTTGCAGCGAATGGGGGAATTGTGAGTTTTGTATGTGTTTCTATGCAGAAAATGGAGCTAACGAGAATAAAATTGCAAACTCCGAACTTCCTGCGTGCATACATACATATGTCGATTATTTTTTTCTCAGAGGGCACGGTAACGAATCCTATAATCTGATTGGATCTTAGCGCGGTTCGTATTTTCCTATCTCTGCCCACGGGCATGGTAACGCTTTCGTGAGTCGCCGAGTACATCCCTACCTTCGGACACAACTTAGTCTAATTATTAAGACGTACCCTGAGGTAGCTCTAAGAAGCTTTTGATTTTGTTCTGTGCTTGTACTTAACATGGTAGAACTTTTTTATTTTGTTAATTAGTGCTTTCTGTGATAAACTGTACCGCTTAGATTTATGTTCGAAGAGGTTACACTCAAAGGACAGGCCTAAGGCGCCAAATTCAGATAATTCAAAGTAATTCAGATTTCATAATAACCCTAAAATTGTTTTACTTCCCATCCGTTAGGAAACAAATTGAGCTAATTAAATATTTTTTTTGACCCAGAAGTGATTTATATTCAAAGCAATTCATTTTATAGAAGTTAACATCACACCTGCCTTAATGAGGATTCGTTAACCTCTAATTTTATGTATTTCCGATTTTGATAGATTGATCAGTGCGAAAAAGCAATCGAGTAAAAAAAAGCAAGCATGGAGAACGCTGAAGAGATACTCCAAGCTCTTTTTCTCGGCATCTCACTTGCGTCGGTTCTACTACAAACATGTCGATACGGAAAGGCTCTCGAGGTGTTTACTGAATGCTTAGAGTTTCTTAAAAAACACGATTCGAGCTTGGAAGCCGAAACATTTAAACGCCTCTCAGCACTAGTCTACTGCAGGTTATCTCACATTTATTTCCATATTGGAGACTCCAAGAATGGCTTTGAAAAGAGAGAAAAGGCAAACGCTCTATATCCCCAAATGGGTGGCAGTCAAAGTTCAGCTGAATTTTTGGCTAAACCTGGTGATGAGCACGTGTCTAAAACCCATGACTCGCCAGATAATGAGGAGGACCAAGAAATTCATGAAGATCCATTATCAGCCAGGAATTATAGAGACAAGATTAAGGAAGCGGATGAACTTGACAGACTCAGTCATTTAGCTCTTTCTCGTTTCGAATACTCCGAAGCCAGACGCCTTTTAGAGAGATTAGCTGAACTATGGGGCGAGCTTGGGGACAGGGAGGAAGAGAAAACTGCACTCTTTCGTCTCGGCGAACTATATAAGTCACTTGATGAGTACGACCAAGCACAAACGTATTTTGAAAAGGTCCTACTGATGGCGGAGGAAGATGAAGACACTTACATGCAAGGAGCGGTTTTTGGCAAACTTGGGGCTTTATGTAACTTTCGCGGTGACTATGTCAAGGCAAAAAGCTTGCGCAAGAAGGCTCTCGAAATTAGTTTGAAGATTGGAGACAAGAGAGGAGAGGTTATTGATTACAGAGTCCTCTCTGATGTTCTGCTCAATCTTGGTGAATTTAAAGAAGCTCAAGACTGCTGCTTAAAGGCGCTCACTCTTAGTAAGGAAATTGGCGACAGTGAAGAAGAGGGCTTGGCATACAGCGAGCTAGGTGATATTCAGAGAAAGTTGAAAGACTTTGAATTAGCAGAGCACTACTACAAGAGTGCAAGGGAAGTATACGAACAAATTGGAGACTTGGAAAATGAAGAGAAAGAAAACAGTCGACTTGGTGTACTGTACCGTTTTCTTTGCAAATACGATTTGGCACTTAAAAGTCATGAGAGTAGTCTTATTATAACGAAGCAAATGGGTAATAAAAGAGGTGAAGCCAAACAATACAGCAACCTTGGAGCTGTTTATCAAGATCTCGGAAATTACCTCATGGCTAAGGAATGCTGCGAACAAGCCCTTGTTATCAGCACGAGAGAAAATCACTTAAAGGGGCAAGCAATTGATTATGGCAATCTAGGAACTGTCCACCAGCTTTTTGGTGACTTCACAACTGCGTACGAACTCCACAGAAAAGCGCTGCAGATTAAAATTCGAATTGATCTCAAAGAAGGATTACCTGAAGATTACTTTAATCTCGGTCGTTGCTGTAAGCATCTTGGTAAATATGCAAAGGCAAAGGAGTTTTGGCAATTAGGACTTGATGTCGCAAGAACTACTGGTCACAGTCTGATTGAGTCAAATATCATTGCTAGTTTGGCATCCGTGGAGCAAACTATTGGCGAGTATGAAAGCGCTAACGCTCATTATGAACAGGCACTTCTCATCAGCCAAGAGGCCAAAGACCTCAAGCGACAGGCATGTATGACCGGCAACCTCGGACTAATTGCTCAGTCTCTTGGTGATATACCTAAGGCCCAGGAATTTCTTGAAAGATCCGTACAGAAACTGAAACAAATTGGATGTAAAGATGAAGAGAGCACGGCTTTGGCAAACCTTGGAATGCTCTATTGTTCATTGGGTGAATATGGTAAGGCGATAAGATACAATGAAGATGCTCTTGCCATTTCAAGAGAAATACATGACAAAGAGGGGGAAATGGCATTCAACAACCATTTGGGACAGATTTACTTGTTTCAAAAAGAATTAGAAAAAGCATCTGATTGTTTTACCAAGGCACTTTCAATGGCTGAAGTTATTAAAGACTCAAGAGCTGAAAGCCTTAGCTACTGCAACATAGCATTTGTGTGTTTAGTTAGAAACGATGTACCAAAAGCGTTCTGGTACCTCTCAGCAAGCATCAAGACGCTAGAAAAAGCGTCGGTATTACATGGAGAAAGCGAAGATTTTCAGATCGGCTTTGCAGACCAACACAATGATCCTTATCGATTAATGGTTGTTGTCTTGCTTAAACTAGGAAATATTGATCACGCTTTGTCAGTGTCGGAGCTTGGACGTGCAAGATCATTGGCCCAGCGAATGGAAACTCAATATTCAGCGCAACCATTACCTGCTTTTGACCCTTTTCAATGGATTGATCATAAAAACGTTGTTCAAGACAAATCTTGCATATGCTTGTCATTTTGCTTTTACATGGAAAGGCTATTTTTCTGGATTTTAAAGGCTAACACGAGGACAGCTTGCAAAGAGATGTCAGCGAGTCAATGGCTTTCAGCAGACAATCAACCTCAACGGGACTCTTTTCAAGACAAGTTGAAGGATCTGGCGAATAAGTGTTACAGAGAGTTTTCACTTTTGTCAGGAGAACGATGCGAAGATCGCTATTTGGTTCTGGATGATGAACATTCTGAGGCTAGATCTCCAACCAAATCCGAAGGAAGCTCGCAGCCACAACAAAGTTTTGACGCTTGCCAAGTCAAGGAGAAGAATGAAGGAGGATCAGAAGAAGAACCGCCCCTCAAAGTGTTGTATAAAGTCACCATAGCTCCTGTGGCTGATCTCCTGGAAGGATCTGAGATAGTTGTTGTCCCTGATCGTTCACTATACAGAGTTCCATTTTCTGCGTTGATTAACGAGAAAGGAGGATTTTTGGCAGAAAGGTTCAGGATTCGGTATACTCCATCACTGACGACTCTCAAGCTGATCCAAGACAGTCCTGCAGATTATCACAGTGAAAGTGGCGTTCTTATAGTTGGCGATCCTGATGTTGGTACTGTCACGCACCAGGGACGTAGGTTAACACTTCCTCGATTACCATGTGCTAAAGAAGAAGCTGAGATGATTGGAAAGATTCTTCACGTTCAACCCTTAACTGGTAAAGAAGCTACGAAGGAAGCGGTACTACAAAAGATACATTCTGTAAGTCTCATTCACATTGCTGCACATGGTGAACCAGAGAGAGGTAATATCGCATTAGCTCCATCCAATCATGAGAGGGATGACTTTCTGTTGACGATGGCCGACATCTCCGCAGTCAGATTGCGAGCCAAATTGGTAGTGCTAAGTTGCTGTCACAGTGGAAAAGGACACATCAAAGCTGAGGGAGTTGTTGGTATAGCTCGAGCCTTCCTAGGATCTGGCGCTTGCTCAGTTTTGGCGTCTCTCTGGGCTGTGGACGACGAAGCAACAATGGCGTTCATGGAGCAATTCTACCAGCACTTGGTGAATGGAAAGGGTGCGAGTGAATCTCTTCATGAAAGCATGAAATGGATGAGAGAGAACCCAGACTACTCGGAAGTAAAAAAATGGGCACCATTCGTGTTGATTGGAGATGATGTGTCATTCCAATTCGCCAAATAAATGTAAGTCCTGGAATGTAGGTGGGATACAGTGATACAAAATTAAATTAAAAAATATAATAACGCAATTCAGAAGCATGTCTGGGACGCTGCAACATGTGACGTAGTAAGCGTGTTTTTCAGTGACAGAATCAGCTTACAATTTTTTTTTGTTTAACAGTGAGAGAGAATTCTTCATAACTGGAGGAGAAAGTACCAGGTGTCTCAACACAATAAACTGTGAAAGATGTTGCTGTTATGAAGGGACTCTGAGAGGAAATACAAGTTCAGCTAAAACCTTTATTTCAGTAGACTTTTAATTTTGAAGTGTTAAATTATTATGAGTTTTACTAGACGTGTCCTTCTTTGGAGAGAATCTCAGTGGTGTGCTCAGAGATGCGAGGACGGAGACAGCTTCAAAGAAAATGCACTCTGAATCGAAAAAGACGACGAATAAGAAATTAATTTATCATTTAAACTGCGGTATCATACAAGGATTCCAGCCCTGAGAAAAACCGTAACAACACACGTCAAAAAAATACATTAGTTTCACTCTTCTCGATCCATGGTTGTTTATCTAAATTTTCTCGGATCATGGCTGCTTAAACATTGAAAAATCCGTATCGCGTATAGAAAATGACGTTCAAAATTTCCCAGAAGACGAAAGTTAAGTAATCAGTGGCTTTAGTAGTGGCATTTCCCGCGGCTGAAAACGAAACTCGACAACTGCAAGATTTTGTCGCTGAGGAAAAAGTCATTATCTGACAATTTTGTATATTGAATATTACTTTAACTATTTGTTTTGTAATGATTCAATGAATTTTTCTTATCTTGAGCCTTATCGCCAACGCATTTTACAATTTTTCGGAAATTTTGGATTTCATTTTTTTTTTATTCTTTAATTAAGTCGACTTAAGGGCTATTCTGTTTATACAGTAAACAGATTAATACATGGGCGTGCGTAGAGATGAAATTTCTCTTCGAGAGTTTAACTCAACAACTTACAAGTGAGCGCAGCTCACTCGTGAACTATCGAGTCAAACACTTGCAGAGAAATTCCATATCTACGCACGCCCATGTATTATTCTCTACAAAACATTGTAAATAGGTGAGTGTGAATTAAAATACTTATTTGAAAAGCTTAATTTCTTTAAAATGCGACTGATTAATAAACCTTGAATGTCAAACAAAAGACAAGAACTTCAATAGTATTTAATCGTTTGTCTTCAAACACTTAAAATTAATAATTGTGATGAAATGAAAAGCATAGGCTTAGATTTTAATCCGAGTTAATCATCCCAATCATAAACCATCCTATCGCTCCTTAATCTATTCTTAGTTTTAATTCCAAGAAGTCACTCCTTTAATCTTCTACAGCTAGGGACACAAAAAAACAATTTTCATTTACTCTCAGGGCATCCTACCGTAACATCGGGGTTGACGTATTCACTGACATACTGTAACAATCGTGAATACCTTAGTGGAAAGGAAAATTAACTTTAAAAGGTAATCAGATATTTCATCGAAATGTTATGGGTCAGCGCAAGATTTCATTTGTATCATTTGATCTCAAATGCGATGGCTTCAGTTCCTCTGATGTCGAAATCTTAATCCTTTAACTCCTATGGGTGATTAGCATCCTATTTTTCCTTACAGTATAGCATTGCTGAATCATACACTAAGGTTACGAGAACAGAAGAAATGATCATCAACTCGAGAAGCTCTTGATTGTTTGAAAAATTCTCCTTGTCAGCACCTCAGGAAATGTGTAGAAAACAGAATGGAGAATAAGGGAATAACATGACTTCTTGAGGGAATATTGTTTATTTGCGCCGCGTAGTGTCATTTGCGGCCCTCGCGCGACACTACAAGGGCGCAAATAAACAATATTCCCGAAAAAAGTCATGTCATTATCATTATTATCAATAAACAAGGCCAAATGATATCCAGAATGCGAGTTTAAATAATACAAGCTAAGTGAATGACGAATTCAAAGTCACTTCAAATCATCATGTAAGTGTTGATTGAACAAGCTATTAAAGAATCAACTCAGTCCAGTGAATTTATTGAAAATTACCGAAAAAATGCTTAAAATCGTCTATAAATAATAGGCATATCACAAAGTTAACCTTAAAATGATCCATCGGATGATGAAGCAAGAACCAATCAGCTGTAGGGCTGATAATGCATTAGCAGCCCGCTGTCAGTCTTTTGCGGCCCGCTGAGCGTGTGTTTTGAAGAGGCCGATTTTCTATTTGGCCGCGTATATTGATAATAATATACATTTACATTTGGGTGAAAAGGGTTAAATCACTGAGTCAAGCAAGAAATGAAAAGAGACCTTGTTTAGCTATGCCATAACTGATTACATAGTTGGTCCTTTCTTGATTATCAAAATTAGGAAAACGAACTGAAACTTTCACAAAACGTTAAAAATGATATAGACGTTGTGACACGAAGAAAAATATATTTTCATTTCTGCTGAAGATATTCACTGGATGATGACACCAAGCAACCCGACCCATTCCCCCTTTATCCTCGAACGTGAAATATGATGGCGGCGATTTCAAGAAATGTTTGAAAATTCAGTAAAAAATATTGAGGTAGGAAACAACAGTGATAGTTCGCCTTTGCATCGACAGACTCAACGAGATTTACTTCCTCTAACACAATGAAAAAATAATAGTGTGTGAGTCAGAGATATTTTAATAAGCGTGAATTAAGACGACCTCATGAATACTTTTTCTCTCCTTCACGGCGTGGTGTCTAAAATTTATAAAGTTCATGCTGCAGATTTTTTTCTGATTTTTCTCATGCTGAAGATTGCTTCTGGTTCGCAAAAACTAATGCTCTCGAGAGTTAAGGCATAACTGAGCAAAAACGAAAACTCTTTCTGTATTCTTTGTTCTCTGAGCCGCTAATTTATGTTAACTCTTAAACCGTTAAAAATAACAAGCATCTCATCTCTCCCTACAGTATCGCCCTAAGTCGAACATTAAGGTCACGAGAATAAAGGAAATGATCACCAACCAAAGAGGATTATTAGATGAGGAGAGAAACTTCTCACTCAGGCTGTTCGAAGCGAACAAAATGTTTACCTGTGTAAGATAGTCATCTCACGGGGCTGGTCTAGAATAAATAAGAAACCTTGTGTGTCAAAGTTAAAAAGGTGACTATAAAATTATTTACAGGGTAATTTAGTATCATCAACTGAGTCAGAGCCATTGGAGAAGGGCTAACGCTCTAAAAGTCATCTTTAAAACTCTTTACGATGGCCAATTAACGTTATCAACTCCGTTGATAATACTGACTTAATTACCCTGTTATACTATCCCACCGACGCAGCACCACAGTTTCTTTAGAAACTTAGCCTCTTTGTAAAATTGTTTGATTGTTCATCATGAAAAAATTGAAATTGAAAAATGTTCTGTTAAAAATAAAAACTATACCCTGAATTCCTTAGGGTATAGAGGAGCGAATGGACCTTGAGACGTAATCGTTAAACTACATCGAAATTTTATCGGTCAGCTCAAGATTTTACTCGTATGTTTTGGTATCAGTTGCGACGGCTTAAGTTTCCTCGCTATCGAATTTAACTGTTACGAGTGGATAGCATCCCATTTCTCCTTCTTTTATCACTGCTGAATCAGTCAAACATTAAAGTCAAAGTAATAGAAAAATGATAGCAAATGAAAGATTATAAAGTTTATAATCTCTTGTCAGTAACTAAAGAAGCTTTGATTGTGAAATAAATTCTCCTTGTCAGTACCTTAGGAAATGTATAGAGAACAGTGTGGAGAATATAGATGCTGATATAGGGTATAAAGTTTAAACCATTAAGTCAAGTAAGAAAGAGGAGAGGTCGTGTCGCGTTAAGTCATGTTCAAATTAGCGCTTTTTCGCCACCTGAATTATACTACAAGGTTTGTGTCTATTTGATTAAAAAAAAAACTTAATAATAATAATAATAATAATAATAATAATAATTATAATAATAACAATAATAATAAGCGTTATCCACGGGCTCCCCGGGACGTCATTAGGGACCTTACGATCCGACAACGGCGACGGCGACGTGGGACTTTTTTACTTCCGGTTACGTACTGCGCATGTGTAAATTTCTGAGACAGTGGTGTCCCTTCACGCGCGGACGGCTAGAAGCCTTGTTTGACGTTGTGCGAAAACGTAGAAATTAAAACCCAACTATGGCAAATGAATCAAGGTAAAAACGAGACTTTGCTACTAAATTTAAAGAATACTAGTTTGTTTGAAATATCCGAAACGAACAGAGCGTGGAGTCTTTTGTATACGACCACAAACTGAATGGAGAGAGATTTGACTTATTTTGCTTTGTATTTGTTTGTGATTGTACTTCACTCGCTATCACTGAGCTTTCTTATCACTTACTTTCCAACTTTTTTCTCGATCAAAAAAAGAGAACAATTAAGCTTAATTTTATTTTGGGTTTACTAGGAAATAGTAGAGAGATTTTGTCGGCAGCGGTACTAGTTACATTCATCATCGGTCATCTTGTCGAGATCGAAACACTCGTAGTTAGTGTACGGTAAATCCGGATTTTTAGGCTTGTGTAAATCGTAGAGAAGCACGAATTCTTCAGCGTTAATCAAACGGGAAGCATGAGCCAGGAGAATAGTGTCACGGAACTTTGGCATGGCTTTCTAAAAAACTTTCGTTGACTTAAACACGATAAACATCAATGACCGTCGTCAACGTTTTCGCTCGTAAAATTCGTAATCTCAATTTTGGCGGGAACGCCAACACGACGTGGCCCCGCTCGACCCATACTTCTCACGTTGCCGTCGCCGTCGCCGTTGTCGGATCGTAAGGTCCCTATTCAGTCTACACCCGCACGAGTGCGATGCGAGTAGACTCGGCATCATCCCTTTCAGATTCATTAAAAATAAAGGTTATCAAGCATGGAAAGGCTGCTAAGGCTATGATGTATTGAGTTTGTTAAGGCACTTGACAAATTAAAAAGGCTTGTCGTGAATTTTTTTTTTCCAACTAACAAAAAATGCTGCCGAAGAGTGAAATGCAGCTCAAGTCATAGAGATTAAAGTGAGGGCGAATCTATCATTAACTAACCTCTTCTTCTGTAATCACATAGCTTATTTGGGATATTTTACAGTTGATTCGCCTGGGTTTTTTCGTTCTAAGAAGACATGTCTAAGGATTTTGTTGAAAGACAATCAAAATACATTTTTGAGTTCCGATGTCAAAGTGTTATGCTCTATTTCAGGATGCTTACACGACGCAATCATCGAGATCGCCTCCTCAGCAGTTCGCTGTTTTCCGGTTTCGCTTCAAGCGGAGGTTAGACGTTAGTACGGTATGTAAAGATATGATGCTCTAGCGCTGTTATTCATTTAGACAGGGAGTTTTGAACGTCTGAAAACGTTTCTTAAAACTCAGTAGGGTACAGTGGTGAACTGTCGACTGTGATTAGTGTCAAAGTTAAGAAGGAAAGAAAGTTTTAAAAGGTAATTATCAGTATCGGCTACTGTGTAATTTTCAACTTTGAATGCATTTATTTTCCCCAAAGTGCGAGATGTATGACCAGAAATTGCTATATAATCGCAAAAATCGATGTGATTTTCGTTCTTAGCTTCAGTTTAGTTTCAAACGTCGAAGGTGGCTACAAAACGAACTTTTTAATTGCGATTTCCTTCGTAATGATTTTAATTTGGTCCATTACATTAATAATTCATCAGTTAATCTGTGTTAGATGTTTTAAATGAATATGGCTCCGAAAGGAAAAGACCCTTTTCATGCACATGATATTCATGCGAAGAAAGTAACGACATTACATAAGAACATGATAGTGTTCTTATTGGAACAAAACTGCTAAAATTCAATTGCCTTTCTCTTTCCCTCTTGGACGAAGAAACAACGACCACGGCTTGTTGTTGAGTGCAAGCACTCGATATTGTAGGATCTTTCGTCACTTGTGGTGTCCCGTTCGGTCCAAGTTAACACATGTAATTG